AATACATAAAAATGATATTACCATTAACATTTAAATTTTAGGACACGTTTAGTTTCACTTCTTTATTTTTATTTTCACAGTTTTTAATCTCAAATGTAGGCAAGGGGATTATATTTGTCAATAATTTTATTTGATTGGCAAATTCTTTTTTAATATAATTCCTTTTTTAAAATAATTTAATTTGAGGGTATTTGATATTTCCACTTAGAATTTTCTGTAACATTCCCTATTCTTATTGACCAACAAATGGCTGTGAGATGGCAAGTGGCATTGTCTGGCGTATCGTTAAAGCCACCTGCAGAGAGGCTTTTACCACCCACTTCATTTCCTGCCCCCTTTCACCAATCCTTACTCTCTCACATGCGCTCTGCACACTGCAATGGGTTCTCTATTCTCTCTCCTGAGGTTGTCTCTCGCTGCAGGCACAGTGTATGCAAAAAAGCAAACTTCGCTGCATTTATTAGTTTACTAGGACCATGAATACAATATTAATAATATTAAAATATATAGTTTTTTTTTTTTAATTTTATTCATAATTCTGTTAAAAATAATTGAATATAAGATTGAATTTTGTAACTTAAAATCTTTTTTTTTTATATATTTTTAATATTATATCTTAAAAATGCGGAATATATGTTTACATATTATTTAAAATTGTTTTCTTATGCTGTTCTTATTTTAAATATTCTCGTTTTCTTACTGTCATGCCGGCAACATGGTCGTATTTTTGCCTTCGTAACTTTTGGTTCTCGGTTGCAAGCTTCTCAACGTGCCGTTGCATTAAAATCATCGCCAGCAGCAGCAGCAGCAGCAACATGCAGGCAGAACGGCGGCAACATCAGCAAAACAGCAGCAGCATCAACATCAGTCGCTTCCGTTGGCTGCCAGAGACCACCAGCTATAACGACGTGTTCGCTAAAATAGTCTTTTGATAGCCACTTATTTTTGTAGTTTTTTTCGCATTAGTTGTTTATAGAAGATCGTAACAATAATATAGCCACTTGATTGGCAGCTTAATGATTGGTGTTTAAAATCGGTCGGCTTTCATATGCCGAAAAGTAATAATCCTAAAAGTCTGAATCTTCCACACTATCCGATGCTCAATAAATTGTATATGAGCTCGGAGGAATTTACATTTCTGCCGCGGTAAGTTGAAATGCCGAATAAAATGAGAGTTGGTTTTATTTTGTTGCTGTTGCTGTTGCAACTTGGTTGTCAAAGCCAATTTGATATGACAGGATGCTAATGGAATGCAAATGGCAGTGCACTGGGAAGTTTGATATATGACGGAAAAGTTTGTGCGGAAATTACTAGAGAAGATATGTTAAATTTTGAAGTATATTTTTGGTGCTTGTGAAGTTTTATTTTAACTTGGTTAAATTTGATGACAAAAGTTTCGGGAGTGAACTACATTTTCTTTTTATTGGAATTAATAAAAGTTTTTCTTCTTTTCTATTGGATTTTAGGAAAAGTTGTACCTCAATGCGATTAAATAGTTATCACTTTTTTAGTCCAAGTTTGGTTTTAAAACTTTAACTCTGCAACAAACTAATGTTATCTTTATAAGCTCCGAGATGTAAACTTCTTTTTCTACAATATTTTAAAATAATTGATTTTTTTTAACATTTGTTCATGTCCTGCTTACTTAAAATTGAGTATATTTTTTTGTTCGAAACTAAAGTGTATCTTTCCATTATTTTTAAAATGTGTGTAAAATTTCTGCCAACATACCCGTAAAACTGTGATTTATCTAAAGATTTTATAAAGTCTAAGTTTCACCGCAGGGGAAAACTTAAGTAAATGTTTTGAAAAGTAATCAAGAAGAGTGTAAAACTTTCCTAGCAGAAAACTACTCGAGCCTCAAGAGTGGTCCCACTGTGGCAATTGTGCGTCGCCAAGCTATCGCTTCAGTTAACTGATAGATTTGACACCCTGACAATCTACTTTGCATGATTCCAGCAGCACATGTCACACGGCGTCCAAGTTTCCATCGTCGTTGGCTGTGCGAAAAGTTTTGTCATCACATGACCCCCCTTTTTTTTCACCCCTTTTCCACCCCATCCGCATGCATATTCATGAGAGAATGATTATTCCAAGCAACTCACACTATCCCATCGCCGCCCATCCCACTGGCACATAACATTCCTCGAATGTTCTTCTACCATTGACTTCGCTTATCGCGCATTGAACTTTGCTGTGACCTGCAGGCATTCACACATGCAGACCAACACGTACACACAGTCGGGGTCAGTATTCTAGTGATACCGATAAAATAATAAAAATTATTTAAGTGATAATATGATTAATGGGATCATTACTCATTAATAAGAATCAAGCGGGAGGGCTTGTACTTTTAGCTTTCATGATTACAGATGGAAATCCCTTTAAAAATTCGTCCTTTTTTCGAAATACAAAGTACCAATAAAGAAACTGAATCTAAAACTTTCGATGATAAATTTCATTAAACAGACTCTATAATCCTTTTTAACGTAAATTGTTGGTTTGATCAACATAACTATCTAGTTATATAGTTCGTTTTAAAAATAAATTAAAATGTTTTCAAAGAGCAAAAGCAAATAAAACATAAAACATAATTGGAACATAAAAAGCAGTGCTTCTTTGTAAAGCTGTGTGATAACCAATAATAATAAATATTATAACAAAGCGATCTCCCCCTAGTAAACTTTGATTTGTAGGGCTATTATACTGACCGCAAATATAATCTATACTTGGTTAAATTTGCATTGCATGCTTTGCATTCATTCTCCTGCTTGCATTTTGCTGGTTCTCTTCTTTTCCTCGCTTTCCGTTTACCATTTTTTGTTACCTTTCTGTTTTTCCTGTGCCATTCAGGTGGTAGCAGCGGCGGCGGTTCCCCTTTGTGCCTTATTTATCTAGCCCGGGCTTTCATGTTTTTGGGCGTGCCAGGCATTTCACCCACCTTTCTCCACTACTTAATTTAAATCAGCTAGCTATTTTTTTTAAACGTTCTCGCGAACGTCTGTTGAAGCTTTCCACGTCTCCTTTTTTATTGAAGTTGCATTGGAAATGCAAACCACGTTGCCTACTTTTTTGGGCGGTGGAAATGCGCTGAAGGGGCTGTCTTCGTGCTGCGGCTGGGAGGCTCTAACAAATGGCATTCTAAAATGTTGCCCAATCAAGCGCAAGCGAATTTTTGACTTTTATGGGTTTCTCTAATTGTTATGCAAACTGCTGCTGTTGACTGGAGTGCTGCTGCAGCCGCTGCCGTTGCCGCCGCCCTTATTCATTCATTCGCGTTCTCCGTCTAAGATATCCGAAACCCCCATTTTGGCCCCATTTGTGGTTCGGGCCGCGACCGCTTTGGCAAGTTATGGCAGCAATTAAAAGTTTTGTGCTGAGCACTTGAAAAAAAAAGCCAAACCAACTAACCAACCGCCCACTAGCCGCCCTTTCTCTATTTGTCTGCTGCAGAGACAAGAGAAAAAAGTACGTGAGCAATGCAAATGATTCTTTTTTAGTAGTAATTAACATCTTTTGTTTGCCCGCCGTATCTTATGCGCAAGCAATTCTCACATATTTCCCATAACCATGGTTTTATAAGTGATGAGGGAGTGAGAAAACTATGTAGATTGTTTTTTTTTAGATGTTTAAGTCTGACGAATAACTATGTTTATTACTTGCTTAATTTGAAATTGTGTGAAAAGTCTCTCCATCTCTGCTCTGAAATTGAAAAGAAACATTCTATCAAACTACTGCTAGCACCGATCAAGCAGAAATTTAAGAAATTCACAGAATATTCTCGGCAAAAGGTAAAAGCCTTCAATAATTGTAATATCTGAATGTATTTTTAATGCAACGCAGATGTGAAAATAAATAGGCAGAAAGGAAATCGAAACCAAAAGCAAATAAATAACAAACAGCCCGAGTAAAAATCGAGAACAACAACAACGAGCCAGCCATAAAGCACTTATGCCCCCTTGTAATACTGCCGACAGTGTTCTCTCAGTACGGTAAATACCCTGACTAACTGCCTGACTGCCTGGCTGGCTGGCACAACTCCAAGTGGGTGAATGTAGATGTGGGTCTGTGGCTGTGACTGTGGAAATAGGGAATTTCTTTGGCTTTCGGGATTCTTTGGCGTCCGCATTAGTGTCGCCCTATTGGCGGCCATTGTGATGCCATAATTTCTTGGCCCATTTGAGCTTGGGGCAGGTTGTTGCACTTCCTTCAAATGGAAAATCGGAGTGACGGAGTAGGGAGTGGGGAGTGACAGTGTGCTAAAAATGGTATGGAAAAAGCCGGTGAATGGGAGTGGAAACTGAACGGGCAGCCAGGATGTTCTTAACGAGCTGAATTATTAATTGCGGTAAAAGCATTTGAATACAAAAAATGTTCCGGTTTTTTTGCTCTTATCTCTTGTCTTTTAAATTAATGTTGGTATTTAAAGCTTATCTTTATCGTAATTAATGTTTTATTGATTTTTTAGTTTGATGGGCAGCTCACGAATGTGAAAGGATTTGTAATGTGATGGGTTTCATAGTAATAGATGGTATAACTTAAATTAAAATATAAATTAATGTAATTCCACTTTTAATTAAATTTTTCTGGATATTAGCCATTAAAATACTTTAGTATATAAATAAACTTTAATCTTTTTATCCATCTTTAAATGAAAATGCATTTTCCGCATCGCTTTCCATCCAATTCTCGTGTCACTGTGCGTTTTGAAAAGACGTCTGGGCCACAGCAAGCGGATTACTTCCTGTTGCTTTTCGTTGTGCCATTTTTTTACTGGCCGTTTTTGTAGATTTTATTCTTGAGCAGGCGACTTTGCCCCGCGGTAGTTACTTCGCCTCAGTTGACGACGACGACGACGACATGAAATTAAAAATTCAAATTATGTAGACTATGTAAAGGACCGATTCTTTTTTTTTTTGCACTGAGAGCTAAGCCCCAAGGATTGACCAAGAAAATTGTTTTACCCCCCTCTAACTGTCTGTCTTGCTCTTTACTTGCAGCATTGCCGAAGAGAAAAAGAAACTGGGCAACGACCAATACAAGGCGCAAAACTATCAGAATGCACTCAAGCTCTACACTGATGCCATATCGTTGTGTCCGGACTCGGCGGCATACTATGGAAATCGGGCTGCCTGCTACATGATGTTGCTGAACTATAATAGCGCCCTGTCCGATGCCCGCCACGCCATCCGCATCGATCCTGGTTTCGAAAAGGCCTACGTCCGGATAGCCAAGTGCTGTCTGGCTTTGGGCGATATCATTGGTACGGAACAGGCGGTCAAAATGGTCAACGAGCTGAATTCACAGAGCACGGCTGTTAGTGGTGAAGAGGCAGCGGCCCAAAAGTTGCGCCAACTGGAGGCCACCATTCAGACCAACTACGACACAAAGGCTTACCGCAATGTTGTCTTTTACCTGGACAGTGCCTTGAAAATGGCACCCGCTTGTTTGAGGTAAGTTAATTATCAAATTATTATTGTAGAAACCAACTAATTACCATCATTAACTTTGTAGATATCGCCTTCTTAAGGCTGAGTGCCTTGCGTTTTTGGGACGTTGTGATGAAGCCCTGGACATTGCAGTGGGTGTAATGAAGCTGGACACGACTTCGGCGGATGCGATTTACGTGAGGGGACTGTGCCTGTACTATACCGACAACCTGGAGAAGGGCATTTTGCACTTTGAGCGCGCTCTGACCCTTGATCCGGACCATTTTAAGTCCAAGCAGATGCGCAGCAAGTGCAAGCAGCTCAAGGAGATGAAAGAGAACGGCAATATGTTATTTAAATCGGGTCGCTATCGCGAAGCACATGTCATCTACACGGACGCCTTAAAGATCGACGAGCACAACAAGGATATCAATTCGAAACTGCTTTACAATCGGGCATTGGTTAACACAAGGATTGGCAACTTGCGAGAGGCTGTGGCCGATTGCAATCGAGTTTTGGAGCTAAACAAGCAGTATCTGAAAGCCCTGCTGTTGCGTGCCCGGTGCTATAATGATCTGGAGAAATTCGAGGAGTCGGTGGCCGATTACGAGACAGCGCTGCAGCTGGAGAAGACGCCCGAGATCAAGCGACTGCTGCGCGAGGCCAAATTTGCGCTGAAGAAGTCGAAGCGAAAGGATTATTACAAAATCCTGGGCATCGGACGCAATGCAACCGATGACGAGGTTAAGAAGGCGTACCGCAAGAAGGCATTGGTCCATCATCCCGATCGACATGCCAACAGCAGTGCCGAGGAGCGCAAGGAGGAGGAGCTGAAGTTCAAGGAGGTAGGCGAGGCGTACGCCATTCTGTCTGATGCGCAAAAGAAAGCACGGTACGACAGCGGACAGGATATCGAAGAGCAAGACCAAGGTAAAGATAAAATGTGATTATACAGATTTGTGAAATTCATATTAATTTTATTTATTTTTGTTCTTTTAGCCGACTTTGATCCTAATCAAATGTTCCGCTCGTTCTTCCAATTCAACGGCGGCCGCCCCGGCCGTGGTCAGAATACTTCGTTCAATTTTGAGTTCTAAGATCCCAGCGTTTTGCTCAGCGCCGCTGACCATCACTCCCATTTATCTGCCTCATCGGAAGCCAACGACGTGACCCAACATACAGCAGCGCACAAATTTAAAACTCTTGCATTTTTTCCAACAAAAAGATGAAATACATTTTGTTTATGTTATATGAATGAAAAACAAAACAAATTCTATGGATATCTGTGAAAATCATATAACAAAATTACTGGTATATTTTCACATTTTAAATGTTTCATTTTTTTTAAGATCTTTTCGGCGGTATAAAATGAAATGAAAATAAAATATCAAAGAAATATGTAAATTCAAAATATATATCCAGTTGTTGTTGGATCCGCCGGCCTGGCGAATCCTGCGCCTGTGTGCGTTCGTTCAGATTATATAGAAGGAGTAACTGATTAATTAATGATTAATGAAAACGTAGCCTTATTGTATAACCAATTTTATTTGTATTCATTAAGCCAGACACTTAAGTTACGTTTCTAAGTTACAAAACACAAACATATGCTAAAACAAAACACAAAACAATCAAAAACCAACTACGCATGCGATTTAATTTTTATTTTGTGTAATTAAACGATGAACATTATAGACAAAGTAAAAACATTAAGTAAAACCGAGAAAACTTGTGGATGGATTTTAGTATTTGGGATTAAAGGATCATATTGGTGAAGTTAGGTATGATTTATCAAAAAATAATATTGTTTCCCAAAAACTTCGGTGATATTATTTTTCATGTTTTATTTTTTTGACTTTTTTGTTGGGTTTTTTTCACAAGTAAAAATTAAACAAGATCCTGCGAGAAGGCATCTTTTGACCTTAAACTATTTCATCCGAAATTTAATTATATATAATTTAGTCATTTTAAATAAAATCCTGATTTTCCGAAAAATTGTAGTTGAGTCGTGTAAAATATGTGTAATATACATTTTGATATAAGAACGCCATCTATCAGCAGTTCGTGAAACCTTGAACTTATTGCCTGCTTTTTGGGATAAAGTAAATGAATTGTCAAATGTATGTAGATAATAACGAACTATCCAAAAAATCGATACGCTTGGCGCGCTCTTTAAAACTAACATTTTTGAAATGTTTTTATAGTTCCGTGACTAACTAGTAAATATCCTATTTATTCAAATTGTTTCCCAACTGGCAATAATATTAAATCCTGAAATGTCAAACCATTTTATCCTTTTTGTAAAGCAAATGATTACCAATGTAGATAAAAAGACACCGTTTACAATGCTTGTCAGACAAATAGGTACACACATTTATTTATGTTTTCTTTTTAGCTTCTGTTTACACATTCAGGAAAAACTAATTTTGGTTTAATTTCCATACTCACTCACACCAACATACGCTAGCACAACGATGCCAATCAAATTCTCGCTAATTTTATAGACAATTCATTTATTCACAACTAATTTTCAGTTTTGTTTTTTACACATGACTTTTTTCTATTCAGTTTGGACTTTCGTTGGTTTTTTCTTTTGATTTTTTTCTAGGCTAAGGTAAAAACTACGGCTAAAAAACGCAGCAGCAAAAGCCAAACTGCATTTCATCATCCTCAACTAACCATCTATCTCTTTCTCTCGTTTATGTGACTAACTAATTTGCCCATATTTTATTAGGTATACATACGTACCATATACATATACATATATATCTATATATATTCATATAAATTAATTCAATGTTTCTGTTTTTTGCTCTGCTTTGCTTTGCATATAAAAATAAAAACTACTTAAATATTATGCAAAAATCATTAGGACCTAAAAAAATAAACACGAAAATGTACAATAAGTTTTTGCTTTTTGTTTTTGTTGTTGTTGTTTCTTTAACGAACTAGTGACGACAGTATTTGTATATAATATAGGTAAAAGTTTGCTGTTGTTGCTTGTTGGTTTGTTTCAGTTGTTGGGTTTTGGATTGGTGACTCTTCGACGACCAGACTTAATTGACTAAGAAAACATCTCTGTTTCAAAATAAGGTACAATGATATATATATATTATATATTTTTAATCCATTTACATATACATATACCCATATGCAGATATATATAGAAAACATATAGGTTCTTACACAAGTGCTCTTCTCAACGGTTTAGGTTTAGCAATTCGGGAACTTGAGTTTTTTCAGTGGTGCCCAAACTTGGAGCTTTGACTTTTTAGCAGCCGCTTTTCCTTGTCTTTGCGATAAGTTTTTCTTACTCTTTTCTTTTCTTTTCTAGAGCGAGGTCAAAATGACGGGCAGTTAACACCCAGAAGTGGACGATCGGCCCCAAGGAATCGATCTATGGCAAATGCTTTGATTCATATCCTTATTATTTCTTGTTAATCCTGTTATCTATGTAAAGTGTATTTTATAAGTAATACTGAGATTCTGCTAGTTAGATGTCTCAGGCGTATCGTTGACCCCATTTTTCCAGACCCATTCTAACCTATCTAGTATCTATGTATTTTATTTAGTTTAATATTGAAGTTGTGGACACAAAAGCATGCAGCCCTTCGCGAACAGAATAGAAAGTAACTTTGGTTTGTGTTTTATGTTTCCTTTTTGTATTTTAACTCAGGGAGAGATGCTGGATGAAAGTTTGTCAACCAAAATTTTTAAAAACTATTCAAATTGTGACATTGTGACAGTTTATTTATTTATTATTTTATTTTCTACTCTTCAAATCTTATTCCTTTAACAAGCCTTTGCAGGACATTAAAAACGATTTAATTTTGAAATTCTAAAACAAAAAAAACACCTTCATCTCTCCCTCTTCTATAATAAGTACCTTTCTCCCAGCTCTTCTTTGCTTTCGTCTCCCCTTTCTCCACTCTCTCTCCGCCTAAGTAACGCTGCCACTTTTATCTGCCAAGCTTTGTACAAGTGGTGACCCCGATCCTGGCCAAACTAAAAATAAGTTGTACTGTTTTCTGTATTGGTTTCTGTTTTTTATATCTGTTGACTATTTCAAATGGAATTCACTTGCCATGCTGCGGGGCAAGGAGGCTCCTGCCCAGCCTGATCCTGCTCAGACCCACACCGATGCCCAGACCCAAGGCCCCACCACTTCCGTTACCCATTGGAGCCGTCGTCCACTTCTTGGGGCGCCACTGTCACTTGGGCTGTATCCGCGCGGAGCGTTCCAGCTCATTGAACTGACCATAGTACAGCACCTCACTTATTAGCTTCTCCGCAATGATCCTTTGGGTGCGATCCATGGTTCTCAGTTTAAGGGATACATTCGAACCAATAAAATCGCAATCATCTCGATTTAACGACTCGGCGTAAAAAGCAGAGGCTGCAACGGCCGCCTGGGCGGAAACACTGCTCTTGATGTGTCCGGGACTAGCGGCCGATTCGGTGGCCTCGTCGTTATCCGGATCGGCTTCCTCGCCATCCGACATACTCTCTCTCGAACCAAGCAGCGAATTCATTAGCATATGACCCGCACTCCCAGCACCAGTTAGTTTTCGCATATTTAAAGGCATCGCGGGTGTGCTGGCATCGCTACCTCTGGGTGGCAGAACAAAAGCTCCAAAATTGGCCTTCGCCTGAGCGACCCGCAGATCCTGGGCCATGTCCGCCAACTGAAGTCGACTCTCCTCGCCCGCTGAACTATAGGAACGATGCGATTCGGGTGGTGGCGGTGGTGCAGGGCCAACACCGCCGCCAGTTGCTTGGCCATGGAAATAGTCGACTAGCTCCTGCTTGATGTCGAGTTCCTCATGGCCATGATGCAACTGCTGAGCTGCTGCTAAATGTTGCTGCTGTAGTTGTTGCTGTTGCAGTTGCTGCTGCTGCTGTTGTTGCTGCTGCTGCAGGTGGTGCTGCTGCGTGTGTGGATGATGGTGCATCTGCTCGTGCGCCTGCCTGGGGGTAACAGCTCTTCCTCCGACTGGACTGTTAAGCAGGTGATTCTTGTGCGCCTCGTGCATGTTGGTATTCGGTATGGGACTGCTGCCGGCTTCGCTCAGGGTTCGATCGGATTTAATGGGATCGCTGGCTGGATCGTTGGCTTCCCTACTGCTTGAGCCACCTCCCCCAGGACCACCGCCCGCTGGCGATCGTAGCTCCACCTTCGCGGACAGTTGACCCAATGCTGTTGCCGCTGCCACATCTTCCTTGGTATTATTGTTATCCTCATTGTCTGAGGTATCCATGGTTTTCAAAGGACTCTGCTGGAACTCACTACTACTGCTGCCACCACCAGCTCCTCCATGATAGCTCATGGGCAGAGGTACTCGCAACTGCTGCTGTGGCACTCCACCACCACCTCCTCCACGATCGGAGCCACCGCCTCCAGAGCCCGATATCGGCGGCGAGTACTGACCCGCCGTATTCCAACTGTCCAGCGTCTGACTACTCGCTATCAGCATGGGTATATTCAGGCCCATCTGGAAGTAAGAAAAAACGTAACGATTACGAAAAGGTTATAGATAAGGCACTTTCATTCGGGAGTGATCAAAGGTCGGTAACTTCGTCATCGTGACGCAGTCTTTAAGATTGGACCATCAAGATAACGAACGCTGGCTACTTGAGAACTTATTATGGCCCCACAAAAATTATTACCAAAAAACCCATTAATTAACTTGTACGTGAAACATGAAATGGATTAAAAATTTCGAATTTTATAAATTCTAACAATTTCAAAATCATGGTTATGATTTTACATTTTATACTTTTTTTGTGGGTACAAGCAAGTCGTTTTCTTAGACTTTGTTAATATCAAAAGGAATGTAATTCATAGAAAACTCAACAGAGTTACCCAAAACATTATTTTCCAATCTAAGTTACATTAGCGTCTCTTTTACTACATTTGTTTAAATACAGATTTGTTTATTATTACCTCCTTATCTCCTATCGAATTAGAGTCTGCCAATACACCCGATAGTAATACTAAACTCATAAGCGGGAGTCCAATAAATTCCCCAGATAGGAAATAAAGTTTAAAACAAAAAAGTAACGATGACTATTTTAGAGAATCATGCTAGCTCAGCTTTTTTTAAGGTCTCGTGCTAACTTTCTGACCAATCATGATGGATAAGCATGTTCATGTTTGATGGAACGTTACTGATTAAAAATAGGGTTTTGTTTTTTCTTTTAAATGGCTTAATACTTTCTAGAATATTCTATAATATTCAATTAAAATAAAACTATTTAGGAACTTACATAACTCTAACAATGTTTTTATGAAGCAATATGGTTTTTTAAGCCATATAAATACAACATTTCTCGTTTTTATGCATTCCTGAATTATCTCAGAAGTCGAAAGTAATTTGCATATAATAAACCGACACTTGTATGGCGTATTTCCGACTTAAATAAAATTATTTAGAAATTTCGATTTTTGTTTTTTTCCCATCGCATTCCAATGCCGGTCAAACCCCCGCAGAAAAGTGGTTTTTGTCAATGTTTTTTGTACTCAAAATCCCAAACATAAATTAAAGCCGAGCGCAAAGTCAGACCGAATTATGATAATAATGGTAAATAAATAATAATTTGACTGCGTTCAGATCGTGTTATTGTTACTGTTATTGTTATTGTTGTTTTTGTTTTTAAGATACCAACATATATGGCAAACACACGAAGCGATCAAAACAAATTAACAGACACACGCACGCAGACAAAAACAAATACAAAATGACCAGAAAGAAAGTTTAGTTTGACGAAGCTTAAATGCTCTAGCAGTTTTAGTTTATATTAAGAAAAAATGAATTAATAAATTAATAAGTCTTATATTTATATTTTATATGTATTCTATATTTATATATTTATTATACGAGGTGTGTTCAAAAAGTAAGGTGACTCTTCAAATTTCGCGAATTTCAAATTTTTCGATTATCGTTTTTTGTTTTGTTATATTGGTACACTCTTCCTAACATCTGTACCAGTTTCAATGGAACATCCTCTTTTGTTTGGTTGTGAGAGGCGTAAAGTTACAAGTTGTTTTGCGAGCTCGGCGTTTTTTGTATCGAAAATATGGATCAAGGATTTGGATTTTTGGCCAAAAACAACACCCAATAATGCCTCGCACCATATTCACCGGATTTGGCCATGTGACTTTTTTGTTCCCAAAACTGAAGATAATCGAAAATTTGAAAATTTGAAATTGAAAGTCCCCTTTGAACACACCTCGTATAACTTCTAAAGGTTTCGATAATCGAAAATTTGAAATTCAATTTGAGGTCCTCTTTTTGAACACACCTCGTATCACAATATATAAATAATAAGAATATATTCAGAAGATACAAAATTTGAATAATATTCTTTGTACGAGTAGAAGCAAAACGCATATACAGGTGACAAAAGAGCGCGAACTTTCCAACCAAAGCCCCCTTCTAAAGGCCGCCCCTCTGAATCGAAATAATGCTGAAACTTACGTTTGATGTGTTTGCTGTTGTTGTTGCTAGCGATTCTAGTGGAATTCTATGTGGAATCCCTGGGGATCTCAAATTAATGTTATTATTACTATTACTATTGTGATAATGCATTCTGCTGCTTATCGAATTTATTTAAGATCGGTATTATTTTTAACTTGTGTTTACACTTGTTGTTGCTGGAGTCGGTTTTTTGTTTGTTTTTTGTGTGCGAAAGCAACGACAACGCGACTCGAACTCGTAATATTTTTGTCCGAAATTATTCTAGCGGCGTAGTAAAAATTTTCGAACAACCGAATAACGTGCGAGAGCGGCAGAGAGTGAACCAGAAAAAGAGATACAGGAGCGAGCTAAACAGCTACGACTTTAAGAGTAAGCTTTAAGAGAGCTTGATTTTTTTCCAAAGTGTTGGTGACTCATTAAGAGTCATATAGAAGAACGGAAATTAACGGTGTTTTGATCGGAATTATAGGAGATACATACATATCTAAATAAATTTTAATATTTGTATATTCAAAGAAATCTGTATTAAATGAAATCCAAATTACTATTACATCATGCATTGAATCGAAAAACACTAAAAATACACCAATTCAATATCAATATCGCATTTTGTTGTCTTTTCGGCAAACTTTTGCAAGTGTCAGCATTAGTTGGCATTCACTCTTCCGGGCCCTCAAAAGAGAATGTCTGAAATATTCTACTTTCGGAAGAGCAGGACCGAAATACAAGGAGAGAGTTATAGATATAGAGAGGGCTTTCAATGGTCAGACGACGGCATTAGCATTAACCTACCCCACGTTTGGGGCCTCACACGAAAATAATTCAACAACAACTACAATAAACAGTTGAATGTGGTCAGCGGTGATCAAAGTTGGGGATTTCTCTCTTTCTTCAACCCCCCGCCAACCAAACTTCTATTTCCATCCCTTTCTGTCTGCGACGATCTCTTTGATTTCGCCTTTTTTGTCTGTCTGAGTTATGGCGCCTAGAACTTTCCATCGAAAAGCTGCGACAAAAACACAAGGAAGCGAAAATTTTGTATCCGAAACGGAAATGCTCTTTGATTACTTTTAAGAAAGTTGTATCTATTTCAGTTTTAAAAATGTTTAATGTTATAAAAACTTCGACTTGTTTATTTACTTTAAAAATGAAGGAAAGCAAAAACTGTAGTTATTTCCCAAAAACTTTTTTACATCTTAAATTTGTATTTGCCTATTTATACATATAATATTTTGATCTCCATAACTTTCTGTCAAGCACCTACAAATGTCAAAATTCGAATGTTGTTTATTGGGCCATCTCGGGAATAAGAGTTCAACCTGTGTTGTTTATTTTTTGTTGTTGCCTCTGCTGCTGTTTTTAAGTTTCCCCAACTACACGGTCCCCTCCCCTTCTCGCTCCACAACCCTCTCCCCACTCATGCCTTCTCTTTCCAGCCTGTTGTTATTGTTGTTGCAGCTGCTTTTGTTGTTTACGCATTCAGAGCAGAGTGTGCGTGCATGTGTGTATGAGTGCGCTATGTGTGCGTGTTTGCATGTCTGTATTATTATTTTGTTAAGGCAAATAAAATAAAACAGACAAGAGAATGAACTCGCTCTCGCTCTCACCCACTCTCTTACCCGCTCTCTCTTACTCTTGGATTGTGTGTGCAACTGAAAAATGTAAACAAACTGATTATCATCCAATCCAATGAATAAATAACACACTACACAAACTACGCGTCGTCGTCGTCGCTGCTTCTACTCCTTTGGCACGAAATCCGCCCATGCCCCAGCCACTGTCCGCCAGTCCCACCCCCTTTCGCCACCCTCTCCTCGCCCACTTTCCTTCCCTCCAAAACCCCCTTTCTCATCACCGCCCATTCACAATTGTCCCGAACTACCTCTTTCCACAACTACAGTGAAACATTAAAAATAGATGCTATTTAGGAGTATAAAATGACATTATGATAATAATAAGAAAGGTTAAATATATTATAGTGGAGGGAACATTAAAACGGAAAAAAGATATTTCTTTTTAGTAAACCATCTTTAACATACCGAAGTTCCACTGTATCTATCTGCTGCTCACGCAAATGTTTTTGAAGTACGATGGCGATATTTTCGCAAAAGCGCATACACCGCAGCAATAACAACAAAAAGTACAGCTCGAGTAACAACAACAAGTAACTGCTACACTAACATTAATGAAACTGCCATGAAAACCGCAAGCGCAAGCGCCGCACACAAAACCCCCAAACCCCCTCATCTCCGGCCCCAACCCCTACCCCCATCCCTCTTATTCGCCAATCTCTAAAAAGGGGATTTACACTGGACGGGGAGTCGTAAAATTAACAGTGGAACAAATTGCAATTGAAAATGCATTGCGGTGTGCTTAAAGGTGTGTGTGTAAGTATGAGATGGCTTTGTCACCTGGCAGGTGCCAATTCCAGGGTTGCCAAGTGTCTTGGTTTAAGAAATTAATCCTCTAAAAGCATTGCTATCGTAACTATGCTAGAAAAGTTCTGTATAGTTTTTACATATTTCGTTATTTGTTAATAACTCAGTTGTCAAGATTTTTGATAAAAACTGAACATGTACTAATAGTAGGTGCATTTCAAGATTGAGATCTTACTTTTAGAATTATTCATATTTTGTAAAATAAAAACAATCTTAAACCTAAAATTCTTGTCATTTAATTTTCTTTTTCAGTTTCATAAAGGTTAATTAACCTTTTTATAAGCTTTAGTAATTTCCACCCGCTATGAACTCAATTGGTCCAAAAACTCAAAAATTCTTGCATAACTTTGGATGGCAACGGGAACTTCAGCGAATTCTAAGCATTTCTCCACGTCTCCCAAATACCAACCAGATTTTCCTCCCACAACAGCAAACCCTATACCCTATCATCATCACTATCATCATTATCATCTACAACATGCATACACACATACATACACATATATAGAAAAAAAAGCCATACGCTGCGCGCTTGGCTCTAAACAACTTTGCAATGAATGAGTAAACAAAAACAAACGTTGACTTCGCTGCCGGCGTCGCAGTTGCTGCTTATTTGCCTTGCACTTTTCATTCGTCCACCGCGGGGTTGGGAAGTGGGTGGTTTATAGGCAATGCAAGGGAAAACAAAACAGCAACGCGAATTACAACAACAGCTTGATACTCGCTACTGCTGCCGCTTCAGCTACAACAACAATAGGAAACGCAAACAAGAGAAAACTACACTCTAAAAATGTTTATTTTTTTGAATAAATAGTTTAGGTTTTTTTGGAATAAAACGAGATATTGTTAATCACATGATTAGCTTAATATCATATATGAAATATGATATATCTTAAAAACCGCAATGCTGTTTAAATTATAGGGGATAAATTATATGGATAAATCTTGAAAAGCTAAACTTAAGAGCTATCTTATAATATAGAAATAATCTTCTCCTAAAAATCACCCTGCATTTGATATAAACTAAAGAAATTCAACCTTAGAGTTTAAGATTTAATTACTCTCCCTATTCAGAAAAGTTTAGATTTCTTCAGGTGTTATGGAGGGTTTTGTGGAGCAAATGGTGGGTGGTGTATGGGAGGCAATGCGTGAGTTGCTTTTGCTAGCCACAACATTGCGGGACAACAACCGAAACAACAACAAAAACACCAGCTCGTATTCGGCTTCATCTTGTTTTTGTTTTTATTGTTCGTTCACTTGTCTTGAGGAAAATACCGCAGAGCAAAACAATTGCAAAATATGAACAAAAATACATAACAATAAGGAGGTGGCGGTGGGGTGTTTGGTTGTGCTCTGTCCGTTGGTGGGCGTTGTGAAAAAGGGGCGTGGGCGTTTTTGTTAGTGCCTGCACACGCAAATAATAATGACGCAGAGGTAGAAAAAACAACACGAGACCAAAGCCAAACCAAAATTGAAAACAGAAAAAAATTGAAATAAAAAATCATGGGTGGCTTCAGGGGGAAGCCACGTCCAGTTCTAACCGATTTTGTCTTGTCAAAAGTAAGGAAAAAATCCAACAAAAATGCAGACACTGATTAAATGGATTAAGTTAACACCAAGTTTATGTTTGGGGAATGAAATGTTTGAAAATAACAAAATAAACTTATTATTAAAATCAAATAGATAACATTTTATCAGTTATAAAAAGATATTTTGTTTGTAACAGATTTAAAGGCAAATGATAAAAAAGTAACTGAAACGACAATAAACATTGTATTTTCAGATAATTTTAAGAATAATTAAATATATATTGAGATATATTTTGTATGGTTTTGAAAAGAAATGTAGGGCTTGGTTATAATGGGAAAGTTAATGAGAGTTTTTGATAAACATTAATAGGATTGTTAAACTATAAAGAAATAAAAAATTGTGTTTCCCAATTTCAAAATGTTATTTTCACCTATTTTGATGGTTGTAAATACCAAAATACTTTTTGGGGACCACAAAACAAGAAAACCAAAAGTGACATGACTTGGACAAACAAGTTGCTTGCATTTAGCTGAGCCACGCCCCCGATTTTCCCATGCCTCACTCACTCCACCGGGAAAACACAAAAAACACAAAATCGAGAAAAAGTCCAGGCGCCAAGTTTTATATTCTTCTCCTTGCAAAAATTTCATTTGTTTTCCAGAAACAGTAGCAAAAAAAACGAGCGAAAACAGCCAGCAACAACAACTCCTGGCATTTTGTTTTGATAAGTCTGACAAACAACAGAGCCAAGTAAAAACAAAAGCTTCCAGCGAATCAACGCAGGGAGAATGGTGAAGGGAGGAAGGAGCACAGAGCCGGGAGAGGGTAACATGGGGGTGCGGTGTCCACCACAAAACAAAACGTCACTACAGCAACAGTAAAACAAAGACCCAGTCCAGAGTTTCTGACTTTCAAGACCCAGTAAAGTTCCTAGTTAGTCTCCGATTCATTAATTGGTTAAAAAACATTGCTGTTATAGTCTCTGTTAACTTTGTTTGAACAGGGAGCTTAAAATGTATTAAACAGGGTTATAAACTGTATTAATTTGAGCAATTAATATGAAATTAGTTATTATCTTTAAGACATATCTTTTGTAGAAGAAGAGAAGTGGGGATTTTCACTTGTATAATTTCTTTTAATAAGAAAAACGAAATATGCCTGTACATAGAACTAACAAGACAAACCTTTCCCAAAAATAATAACACCCTTCCTTACTAAGGGTATTCAAAATAACAAACGGAACAAAATGAAACCCGAAAAAAAAATCACCGTAGCAAGTGCTGCGTTTTCTCTGCCGGCGTCGCAGTCGCCAACACATTTCGCCGTGCAAAACAAACATTTCATCATACAGAGCAACAAAAGCAACAACTGCAACAACAAAAACAAATGAAGGAGAAGACAAAGCTTAAGAAGAAGAAGAGCGGCGACGAAATGTCAGGGCCCCCAATCCCAATACACCCCTCTCCCTTCCACTCACACACAATTTTTGCTTGCATGGCGCGACAACGCAAATAACAGCAAAAAAAATACCAACAACAAGCAGACAGACAGTGCGAGAGATTGGTGAGAGGAAAAGAGAGGGAGTAGGGTAAATGGGGGAGAGAGCTGGGGCCAATGCCTCGCACAAACACCACTGCGCATTTCTAAGAAAAATTTATGCGTAAAATTTTAATTCTGTTTTGATCGTCAACAACAAAAAGAGCACAAACAAGAGCGCACACACACACACATACGCTACAAAAAGGAGAGAGTTCGCGCGCGAGAGTGGGGCCATTCTCTCGGGCACAGTGCAAAAACAGCAAGTCACTTGCGCACATGTTTGCTTGAGCACCAAAGAGAGTGGAGCTATCTCTCTTCATGGCCAAATCTCTCACTGTAATTTCACAGTCAACTCAAAGCCGTTGTTTTGATTGAAATTAACACTAGAAACCTTCGTGTTTTGTTTGCCTATAACAATTGATAAGCTTCCAAAAAATTAAAAACCGAATTGAGTAAATGTACATATTGGTTGCTAAGCCGAAAAATTGTTAACACGTGTGCGCTATTCTAAAAGGCTAAAAGCGTTTCTTTCGAAATTGATTTTGATAACAGTTCTAAAGAAAATAATGAATATAGCAATTAATTGGAATGAAATGTTTATCTAACGTTTTCCTATGAGGCAGTAAGATTGTTTATTACCAAGAAAATGTTTTCGTAGCCAAAATTATTTTTTTGATTTAATTTTTTAGTTAAAAGTATATAAAAATAAAAAATTCCCAAAAAAAAAAAAAATATTTGTTGCTAGGCTAACATTTTGATCCATATCTTTTAATTTTAATCTCGTATTAATTTGACCTCCTAGGGTTAAATCTGTCTTAAATGTGGTTAATTTTTCATCATTTATAAAAATGGACTTTGATTTTTAATCTTAATACTTGTAATACCCACGTGATAAAAGGTTTTTTGAATGAAATTGAATTCGTTGATAAAGAAGAAATTATTAAGGTAGGAATATCAATATGTAATTCTACAATCAATTTAGGAATTAAGTTAATTCCCAATCTACAATTTTTTTGAAGTGTTATAAATGCTAATAAATGCAGTCATATATTTTCCATTAAAATTTAGATTAATTAGTCATTGAAATTTTTAAAACAAAATAAATTGATACAAAATTCACAGAAAACTAAGAAAAAATCCCAAAAATACATAGATTGGAAAAATCCCCATGATCTAAGCCGGGAATTTAATCGTTATATGTTAAAATAAAAAGTTTTTGCTTACCGCTCCGAAATATTTCAGCTCTTTGGTCTTAATGCGTCTATGCTGCATGGCGGGCTGTGAACCGGGCGCCGCGCCACCTGGTCCGCTGGGTGGTGCTCCTCCATTACCGGCTGCTGCAATCGTACCGCTTTCATAGGCCGCTGCCGCGGCCGCCAGTCCATTCAGACCATTGTGGGCGGCGGCGGCTGCCGACGAGGAAACTGGATTTGGCACCAGATTCCCGCTCGAGGCATTAACACCCGATCCACCAGAATTGCCGCCACTTAAACTGCCACCGCCGGCCTCCATGAAATCGAATCGTTTGAAGGCATACCACTTGGACGGATTGGGCTGTATGCCCTGGTATATCTTAACAAACATCTTATGTTTCTCCCGCCGATATTGAGTTAGGAGTACGTTCATCTTCCGTTCAACCTCCGCCTTGCTGCAACCAAAACGCTCGGCTATTTCCGACCACGCTCGGAATCGGCATAGTTTATCCTTATACTTTGGATCGGCACGATTCCACAGCTCCGTGTGACATCGATACTGTTCGATCAGTTCCAGAGCATCGTCGTTGGTCCACTCCATGATTTTGGGGGATATATCGCCGCCGCCGCCGCCGCCACCCCCACTGTTAAATTTCCACCTCCCCCGCCGACAGGCAGCGGGATTAGCTGTTGTTGCTGTTGGATGGTGGTTTGGTGGTGTTGCAATTGCTGGTGGCTCAAATAGGGATGATGATGATGGTGGGACGTCTGATGTGCGGCTGCTGCTGCTGCGGCTACCACGCTGGCCGGATTGAAGTTCATTTGCCACGCCTCTCAACCGATCGGTGAATGGGTGGGTGTGCTTTATATATAGCTTTAAATAGGGAAGCTCTACTTGAGCTTTGCTTCTTTCTTCTTTCTTTCTTAAGAAAACTCTCAGGGAATGTCACGCGAAATGCACTCAATCAACATCGTCTTCTTGGGTCCTGTCGACTGGGTCTCATTCTCTTTCATTTAGCACTTTGTTTACTATTTTTCATTTACTAAAAAGAAAAACAACCAAAGAGAAGATTATAAGTTAATTTGTCATGTTGTTGAAGAGAATCTTAGTCATTTTTAGTTATAATTTTATACTAGCAAGCTTTCCCCTAGTACAAACTTAAATAATTTTCAATTTAAAATCTGTGAAAACAAGTTTGACTTCGGCATTTATCGTTTTGTTTACGTTATCGCCGGGTTTTTCCCGCACGTCAAACATTCCGTCCCTGAGTCGAATGATAACCATGACTCATTCCATACACTCATTCACCACTCGAAGCATTTTCAGCGAACTGTTGTTTGCGGCCAAATAAATACGTCTGTACGTCGGTACCTACATACGTTGTTCCAATCGAATCGATCGCCATTGGTCATTACTATATTATTATGCCATTTCATTCGGGTTTGGAATTCTCTAACTTATTTAAGCGCCGAGGTGTTAATCAGAAATGGGAAATTTTCAGGCCAACAACTAAGCATGGCCAAAGCAAATTTAACAGTCACAAACTCGAACGATCATCATCATCATCATCGCCAAAAACTGAAATAGGCCTCTGTGAAATAGGTTTAGTGGCAGGTCTGGTGGCAGTCAACTTGCTAATTACTGTGATTTTTTATTTGATTTAACATCTAATTGATAAATTTCGAATGACATTTTATGTAAACGAAGGGGAGAAATTTGATTTACGAAAGGGAAAAGAAACTAAACATTTTAATTAGACTTTTGTAATTGGTTCGAAAACAAAAATAACAAATATTAAATCATTTTAATTGTTGACTATAGGAATTTACACTTAAATTAGTACTTAAATATCAAATAGCATATTAGTTAAGTACATATTATAATTTTCAGTTTATTAGTAAATTTCACAATGAAATCCATTTTGCTATCACTATAACCTAATTAAACTTTTTTGCAATCCCTAAAAAAAAAAGAAAAACAATTATAATATCTCTACAAACAGCCAAAAATAGTCTTAGCCCTGGGGCTTATCGGGGACGTCTCCAAGGGTAGATTAGAATAAAATTTTATCTAAACCATGATGATGTGACGCAAAATTATGAAATACACGTGCCAGTCGTGACGTAGTTGTATCTTTCAAATGTCATCTGAAATGCTATGAAAATTCCATAGAAATTGTTTAGGAAACCTCGATCTAGGGAAAAACACAAAAACCGATATTGCGTTGTTTTGTTAAACTATCTAACGATCGACATTATCTGAACTTTAACAAGATCGACATTTTTAATCTCGGCAAATCGAAAACGAAACGAGCTTTACATTTCTTTTTCCATTCAACAAATTCCCTGTTAATAAATTCACAGCAAAATTTGTATAATCTGTTTTACAGAACACGTCATCGTCTGCCTAGGTCAGTGGCACTATATATAGTATATAGCTTTGCTATAATTCACATTTCATTATGCAGTGGAATAAAATCCGCTGTGGATGATAAAGCAGATTTTTATACGGAATTAGCATTTTGACGTCTAACGCGTGTTTACACAGGAAAAAATAAGTGGCTAGTAGATAATGGTAAAGGCATATTACTAAAGTTTAAGGAGAAGCCTTTCAGAGATGTTTTGGCAGTTATCCAAAAATGTAGATTTATAAAATTGTAGAAAGACTCAAAGAAAAGATTCTATCATATTATCTTTTAACTACCTCTAATTAATATTATTTTTTATGTGTATAGTGAAAATGTCGCAGTTTCTGCGAGCGGAGAAAATTCTGCCAAGAAAAACGCGTGAGTGGTAATGTTAATGTTTTTTCCTTTTCTTTTTCTTCGTAATCGTGTGTGTAAATGTCACAAGTCAACAGAAACAGAAGCAACAACAAACGATAACAAAGATGGCAAGGCAACTGCTCGCGCCTCGTCATTCACAATAGACGGAAGTGTATTTCGCACACACAGTACACGCACACACTCGCACACAATCTACACCCAGGGACACGTGCGCTTTCACTCGCACAAACACCAGCACATGGGGTTTATACTATGCGGCATCTCGCTTTTACATCAATCTTTGTCGAACGTAGATTTTCGCTTCCTGGTTTTGGCGACGAGCGCAATTTGCTTTACGTTTTAGCACTTGTCGTGTACGTATTTACGAATCACAAAAGCGGTCAATACAATAGCACTGGATTACGGAATTCCAGAAACGCGATCAAGGGTTCTGGATAAGCTATAGTAAGTTTTTAAGGCTTTTAATTTACTCGAAATTAACATTTTTAAAAGCGTATTTTCGAGTTTTGGTGTCTTGAAAAGTGTTTAAGAAAGTGCTATCTTAAGGAAGCAATCTTATAACTTATAAGCATTTTAAGACATAAAGGTCATATCATGATAGGATTGAACAAGCATATTATCAAGCTGGAATCATGGATTAGATAATCTTGTTTTAAGAATAACTAGGAAGGTTTACACATAAGGATTAACAAAATTTAATTTTAAAGTAACTTTTTCATTACGTTTTCTATTACACTTGATAACTATAAAGATAACTGTAACTTCTCTATAAAAACTTTGATAACAAGATCTATTCAACCGACTGCAATTATAGCTACAAGTACATCAATGTCTTTGTGTTTTAGAACACAATTTAGCACACATCATTTCATGAAATAAATTGTTTAATAAACGGTTTTGTCTCCCAAAAAAAGTTCGAGAAATATTTATTTCTGCGCAGATTGCGACGCTGCGCAAACGGCTGGATGAATCATAACGGTAAACTCGCACTCTTACACATACACAGAATTAAAAAGAGACAGAGCGATAAAACCTTAATTTGTTTTTAGTTCAGTTTTCATGTGGTTTTCTGTTGTGTTGTGTGTTTAGTTGTTTGCTTTTGTTGTTTGCGCCACACTCTGCGTCAATTTTTAGACGCGACACATTTCGGTCTATTTATACCCGTTACTCGTAGAGTAAAAGGGTATACTAGATTCGTTGAAAAGTATGTAACAGATAGAAGGAAGCTTTTGCGACCCTATAAAGTATATATATTCTTGATCAGGATCAATGCGAAGTCGATTGAGCCATGTCCGTTCTCCGTCCGTCCGTCCGTCCGTCCGTCCGTCCGTCCGTCCGTCCGTCCGTCCGTATGAACGCTGAGATCTCAGGAACTATAGCAGATACAAAGCTGAGATTAAGAATGAAGATTCTTGAGGTCCCGGGACAGCGCAAGTTTATTACAGCATCCTGCCACGCCCACTCTAACGCCCACAAATCGCAAAAACTGAAATTGCTGAAATCTCAGGAACTATTGCAGATAGAAAGTTGAATTTCAGAAAGTATAATCTTTAGATGACAGCGCATCTTATAGTGGTACTACTATCCGGCCACACCCACCCATACGCCCACAAGGCTCAAAAGACCGTTTCGGATTTTCTAGAAAGCTGATATCTCGGTAACTATAAGAGATAGAAAGTTCGGATCAAGCATGTATGTTTCTATGATGCTCCCAATGCGAATTGTTTTTTCCGATCACGCCACGCCCACTCTAACGCCCACAAAACCCGAAAACCAAAAATGCAAAAATCTCGAAAACTATAAAAGCTACACAATTTTACTTAGGAACACGTATTTAAGAGATGCCTCTGCAACTTGCCACGATGTTGCTTCCGGCCACGCCCATCTAACGCCCACAAACCGCGGAAAACTGTGGAGTCTATAATATTATTATGAATGCCTTCGTTTGACCTTTGTAACTTATTTCTGTTAATATATATCGATTTACAAAAGATTTTTCAAATCGGAACATTATTTCGCTATTTATGAAGAAATTAAGGTTATAAGGCTCCACATGGGCAGTGACGTCACTATAAGCATACTCAACATACTTCCTCTGACAATAGGTGGCGCCTTGTGAATTTCCACTAGCAAAATTAATATTTTAAAATTGTGTAAAACAGTAACGGGTAACTTATAGTCGCGGCACTCGACTATAGCGTTTCCTCTTGTTTTAGAACTTGTTTTTTACGCCACGCTGCTTTTTTACGCACTTTTTTTGCTCTTTGTTTGTAGTTAAAAGTGATTTTCCAATTATTTTCCGTTATTACTTTGGAATTGGAAATTTTCTTAAATGTATTTTTGGGCAAGTTTTTTCAGTATTTTTTTTTTTGTTGAATTTTGTGGTCTGCTTCAAGTTATTTTTAAGTAGCACAGTTTTGAGGGATTTTCTTGGAATTCTGCGGTCAAATTGGGTCTTATATTTTGTTGTTTCATTTGTACGTTTGTTGTTTACCGATTGTGTTTGTAGATTTTGGGTTTTTCTACGCTAAAAATTAATTTGCATGTCTAGAATTTGTTGTTTGATTACCGAGAAAATGTGCGAATGTATGGGGATTTTATCAGGAATTTCTAAATGTCACCGTTTTTATTGTCTTGTAATGTGAATCACGACGGAAATGCTTAGGGTCGCGTTTTTATTGGATGTTTATTTATATGTATGTAGAAATGTCATTTGTTGCAGTTTTTGTTTTACTTTATTTGCTGGCAACTTTGATGGTGAAATTCATATTTTAACTTACGCAATCAATTAGTGATTGGGATTTTTACGGTGGTCGTATATTTTATTTTTACTTGGTTTTTATTTGACAGATTTCTTTCGAGCAGTTTTCAACCATTTTGAATTCGTTTAAGATCGCTGCCAAAATAAAAGGTCTGAATCAGAAAACGTTGAATTTGCATAAAATCCATGTTATCCACAATTTAGTTTGTTTTCGCCTTTTGTCATTTTGAATAAAGCAAAAGAAGAAGCAGCAGAGACAGAAGAAGAAGAGGTAGAGGGAGAGGAACACAACACAGTCCAAAACAAATTAAACAACGCAAAAAGTAAACAACATCCAAAGCGAAATTGAGCACAGAAACTTAAAAATACATTTCAAGGCGCGCGGAATGAAATAAAAAACAATTTACAATCGAACGCACTCACACTCACATCAAACACACGCACATGCTATACGGTATTGAAATAAATTTTGAAAAAACACTTTTTGTATTTGTTTGAAATATTTGTCTGCTTATTGGTTTATTTCATTATTAAACCAAAATAAATATTTGTTTTCGAAGCCTCACAAGGTTTTTGAGTGTGTTTCAAAATATTTGAACAATTGAAACAGTTGTTTTTTGTTTTAAATACATATTTAGTTTTGTACTAGTTTCTGATTATCACTTGACACAAAATATGAATTTTTTAAATTTTCTTGTATTTGTTGCACTGTAAAACACAATATCATTAATGTTTTTCATTATTAACTTAACTAGTTAGTTTTAGGTTTTCATAACTTAAATTTTTATTTAATAATTCAAATAAATTTTTTTAATATAACACAGTTTGAAGTTTTTTATTTTATTTATAAAAAGGACTGTTATCACTTAATATTTCTAATATCCTTTTCGAAAAAATATTTGTGCGTCTGGCAATTGGTTTTCCGTTATTTGTTTAGCAAACAATACGAACGAGAAAAACAAAAGGAGGCTGTGGCAAAAACAAACATCTCCCTCACACACACACACACACACACACAGAAGCACACGCACGCACTGGCGATATTTACCGCTATTTGGGAGGCGCTGTTGCGCTTTTATTGCTCCGTATTTTTCCCCGTTACGCGCGCAATAGATGTACTATAGCTTTACCGTTAGTTACAACCGCTCGCGAGCACCGTCTGTTTCCGTCTGTTTCGGCGTCTGTTTCGGCAAACAGTCGCAAACCTATTGGCATCGATTTGTAAACGCACCGACTGCGCCGTCAACTTTAACGCTGGCAGAGAAATTGAAATAAGCACAGGCGGCAGCGACAGCAGCAGAGGCAGAGACAGAAGCAGAGTAAACAGTTGTTTCGTGGAAAAACAAAACGAACATCGTAATGAAGTTCTCTTTGGCCTGTTGTGAAATTCTACGGTGCTTTGTCATGCTTAAAGCAACAACAATGGAGCGAGGGGGTGGGACATGGCGAACGTGAGAGAGAGAGCAAATCAGCAGCGGAGAGAGTGAGTGAGATTGAGAGAGAGAGAGCAGTGCGCGCCAAAAAAAACATTACCAGACGTACAGTGACGGTCGAAATAATAGTAGTAGGGCACATTTCGAGTTGGGAAGACTGCTATTATATTGAAACCCTATTAACCCTGATAACATTTCAGAGATTCGAATAATTAATATGAACACACGTTTATAAATGTAGTAAAGATATCCAACAAAATCCTGAACATTTAATATCTGTATTGACTTGAATATAAAACCTTTGTTATTTTATGTATTCTGGTATGTTTTTCCTTAATCTCTCCTAATTAGAATAAATACATACATACATAAATTTACGTAGTTTTAAGGTTTTTCAATGCGCCCTATGTATCTGACATCTTGTATACTATTTTTATAACCATAGCTGTATGAAGGCTGACTGTGACGCGACGTCAACGTCGACTGCGCAGTTGTTTTGATAAAGAGCAAAAGAAACACGGCAACAACAACAAAACAAGGGGGAGTGGTATGGGATGAATGGTTGTTGGGGAAGGGGATGGTGACTGAACAGTGGGGAGGGAGACGACCGCTTCTTGGGCCGCACACACACACAACGACACGCGCAGCCGAGTCAAACAAACAAATAAAATGTGAAGCAGAAATGGCAAAAAATTAAACAAACAAGTAGACAGGAGCGGTTCAGTAAAAATAACGAGTTGAACGAACCGAGGTCGGCACAAATAACAAAACTAAAAAAACGTATCAATAAAAACCCATAATCAAAAGCTGCTTCGCGCCAAAATGAAACGAAATTTCTACTACGTCGTAGTAAAATAATACTAAGACGAAAAAAATCAACAAAACAAAAGAAAGTTCATTGAAAGCGGTCATATTTGACAAAAGATTATTGTGTTTGCTTCTAGCAAGTGAGTTTTTAAATTAATATTGCAATGTTAGAATTTGCCTTTTGATTTTAATACAATAAATTAAATAATGTAATAAAATAGATAAAGGTAAAATTTATAAACAAGAATTTAATTTCGTATATTTTATGAATAAAAGTAGAATAAGTCCTTCAAAATGTTCTTTACGATTCTTCATACTTTGTTTAATACTTTCGAGTTCATTTTGTAGGAACTAATTAATAATAGAAATGCAAAGCTGTAAGTCTTCTATATCCCCTCCCCCGCACTTGATAAGTTCGAAATATTTCCTGCTTTTCTATTTCGCTGCTTTCCTTGTGTTTCTGTTTCGGTTTCTATTTATTTTTGTTTTGTTTTGTTTGCTCGTTAGCCGAGTGGGCGGTACAGTTGGGGGCAGGTGCTCTCCCACTCCCATCGGCCATCTCAGTCATTCTCTCCCCCTTGGTATATTTTTCTCGCTCGCTCTCCTTGCTTGTTTGTTTGTTTTTCGTGGCGTGTTTTGGTGTTGTTTTTGTGCTTGGTGCGTAGTTTTTACGTTCGTCATCGTTCGCCTGGTATTTCCGTCTTCTCTTCTGCCTACGTCGCTGCCCACGCTCTGCCGGCGTCGCTGCCTAAATGGTTTGCCTTGAGTTGTAGTTGCACTATAACTTTGTTGTTGTTTTTTTTTTTGCTGGCAAACGGATTGCAGTTGTGCACTGTACAAAATTTAAACGTAAAAATCATATTATAATATTTATTTATTATTGTTTTTCGCCGTATTATCCTGTTTTCACTTACCGATTAAAGAATGTGAAATATAAAAACAATATATATTTTTTTATTTTTTTAAGATATTCTCTTAATTTTTTCTCAGATTGTTCTCTGATCTTTTCTCTGGCTCAGCAAAGTTCAATGCGTTTTTTGTGAATGCGTGGGTGGTGTATTTTTCTTTTGTTATTATTTTGCTGTTGTTTTTCTCTCGTGCGCAAGTTCTCAGTTCACGTGCTGTTCTCTCATCCTCCTACTTCTCCACCACTTTCTTTTCTTTCTCTTGTCGTTTACAAAGCTATTGTCTTGCCTTCTCTTTCGCGCTTTCTGTCTTAGTTTTTTGTTCTTGAGCAAATTTTTTTGCCCAGCTACCTTTTGGGGAGCACTGTGGTATGAAAACATCTAAAATTGGTCGTGGATTAGAATGATTAAATATATTCATGTCAATATATTAATAAATAGTTTTGTTTTATAACATCATCTTGTAATTATAATTAATTTGTAAAATGCAATAATTTGTAATTTGTAATATGTATGAATAATAATAATATTAACAAATTTCTCCATTAAAATTCAACCAATTTTTTTAATAATCATCATGACTTAGTTTATTTAAATATTCACTCTTATCATTTATGGTCAAAGGCTAAGATTCTTAAACATCTTCTAATATCATGGAAACTTTAACTCATAATGTTGATAACATGCCGGGTCCACCTTCCGATCATTTGCTTACCATGTGCCAGTCTTTAATCTGCCTTAAAGTAATGCGTGCACAGCGAGTAAAATAAGAAGTCATCGTTTACAGGGCACATTTTAATCGACGTGACCCACTGTGAAGGCCGCAAGAGAAATGCTAATTAGTACAAATTCGTTTGTCACAATTTGACAGAGAGCGGGAGTCTTTCCTTTTTGCGAGTAATCAAATAAGAAAGTTCGACAGGGCACGGGGTGGTGGTCTTCTCTGTTGGAAGAAGGGGTGGCTCTGCCGCTGCCTCTGCCCACGTCGACAGCGACGCAGCAAACAAACACTTGTTTGCACAGGAGAACGCGAGAGCGATTTGGAAAGAACTTGCTCTTTCAAGGAGAGAAAAGGGAAAACTGAGAGAGAGCAGGCGCACAGTCACCGCTAAATGTTTTACACTGAACAAATTAAAGATATGTTCTAACACATAAACTTCGATTTTCTAATGTAATTAAAAATATACAATACTTACAAAGCATCTTAATTTTTAGTAGGCATCATATAATATGTGATATACACCCTATTTTTAATATAATCGAATTTCCCAGTGTATTTGCGCTTGTTTGCGTGCGAATTTACAACTAGGAAGCAATTTCGTTTGTTTACAATGTTTGTGCGTGGGCGGGGATAACGAAAAGAGAAAGAGAGCGACGGTATAATGTCCCTGACTACCAGAAATTAAGTCGTGTTGTTTCTTGACCCCTCGTCCCCTCCCGAAACGAACAATCACCATTGCCGACTGAGATGCCGACAAAGGCAGCGACGCAGCTGAAGGTCATTATCCATTTCGCATTTCTCAGTCGCTTTTGCTTCTGATTTTTTTCATCACTAATCTTTTGGGACTTTACATACATAGGAGGTATTGAAGATTTGGTACCCATGAAAGCCATTAGTGTAAAAAAAAAATTATATTTATTTTATAGCAAATGGTTTGATTATACTAATTACTTTAGACGTTTCTTTAAATTAACAATATTTTAGGGAATGACAAAAAAATTAATATACTATTTAACGTATTTTTATGTTATTATTTATTTATATTATCTCTAATAGAAAAACTTCGTTTAACAGCCACTGAAGTTCTCATCAATCGTTTTATTTTCAAAATTTAAAGTATCCTTAGATCAAATTTTTTTTTGGGACTTGAATTAATTCTGACTTGTTTTCTGGGCTCTCTCTTTTTATTATTATTATTGTTTTTGGACTTCGGCTGTGGAATTGTGTAAACAGCGGCGACTGCGACGTCGGCAGAGGAACAACAACAGTAAAGGCAACGCAGGCATAAGAGTAAACAAAAGTATTTTTTCTTCTGTTTTTCGCATTTTGCAGAGACAATGCAAGAAAGTTGGGTTGGGGAAAATGGCAATGGCGAAGAAGTTCCGGAGGGGGTATGGTAAATGGGGTGGTACGTATAAGAAGGGAAACGGACAGAAAGACAGAAAGCAAAGTTAATGAAGATGAGCCTGATGAGTTTTGTTGCTCTTGTTGTTTTGTTTTCGGCCGCCTTTTGTTGTCGAGCTTCAACTGCAAAAAATATGCAAAACAGCAACAACAATAACTAAAACAACAGTAAAACAACAGCAACAGAAAAAGGCAACAAGAAAAACATACATTTGTTTGTATGTAGGTGTATGTATAAGTGCAGATACACTTGCGGTCAAAATGTAAGTGTACTACAGTTTTCTAAATACTTTAATATTGTACTGAACAAATTTTTTGAGGTATATTTTATATATTAGCTATAATTATATTAATTATAACTTCGAATTGATTTTCCCACTTATTAAAATATTTTGTCAATCAAAATCTGAAATGTTTTTTTCTTAGATATCCGATTTATTTTTATTGGGGACTAATTTGTAATGTTATTTTTTTTACCTCTGCTGTGTGTACATAAATACGTTTGCATGCAAGGCAGCGAAATACGCAAATAGAAGCAATGAACTTAATTAGTTGTTGTTACTGTTGTCTATCTCTGCCTTTGTCGCGGAAGAAAAGAAAGGAGTGTGTGGGTGGGGTAGGGGAGTTATAAGGAGAATGTCCACAGTACAGGTGTTAAGCAATCAAATCTTCAGTAAGAATTAATAAAATATTTAAAAATAAATAAACAAGAAAGGTTTACTTTGTTAGTATAAATAACTCAGAAGATGTATTATTCTATGTTTTATGATTATGTATTAAACCAAGTTTCCGAATTTCCGAATGTAAAATCTTTTGACTTCTATTGCCACCCGCTAGAAAACAAATCGCAAACCTTGGCAAAACTTCAAGCGGAAGTAAACAAATTTTTCTTTTGTTTTTCATCGCCCCGTGGGGGTTTTCTGTTTTCCCCATTTTCCTTAGACCTCTTGATAAGGGGGCTCTGTGGTATGCAACACATAGTTGCAAGTTACTAACTAACTGAAACACAACTGTACCCCATCTGAATATAATTATGATGAAATGTTTATTCGGCAAGTGCTACTGCTACCAAAAATATGCGGGAGGTATTTTTTTGGTAGTTTTTATACTTTCGGTCGAAATGTTTTCGCCGTGTTGACATTGTTTTGCTGAACGGAAAAAATACGCTTGTCGCATTTATTTACTAACCCCGACCCAGCTGGTTGTTGTTGCAATTTTTTACTCTTGTTCTTCTGCTTATTTCTGTGTTGTATTTTTTTTTTTTGTTATTCGGCTAGCAACAATAACAAGAAGCAGCGACAGAAATACTAACAATAACAGGGACGCAGAACTCCCCCTGCATTGGGAAAAACATTTAAAACTTCTAAAACTTGAGAATGGAGGACTTTAAAGTTATATGTATATAATTATATTGAAACAACTTAGGTATTTCCATTTCGTTTGTAAACATTTTAAGAATATTTAATAGAAATTTTAAAACAAAAATAATGCCCAAAATACTGCAGCGCCTGCAAATAGTTTCCACTTCCACTAAAAACAAAATGCTATCTTCTCTTTAAGCTGCATTACTTTAAGGTCTAAAAAACTAAAAAAAGTCTTAAATCTTTTTTTGCCATCTGATATTCGTAATTTGCTGTGCATTCGCTTCGTTTTGGTTAGGTTTTCCCCACTTTCGTTGATTTTTCATGTGCAGTCAGCAAAAATTTGTTCTCTGCAGCTCATGTGTTTATTGTTGTTATTGTTTCTGTCCGTGTTGGCTTTATTTTTTGTTGTTTTGTTTTGCTACGTTTGTTTTTTATGTGCAAGTTGTTTTTTTCCTGCGCTTTTACCGCTGTAAAATTGCAAAAGTACAGCTGTTAACAATAACAATGACATATAAACACTCCCGCAGCGGCAACAAAAATGCCAACGCAGCTATGCTAAGAAGAAAAACCAAAATGTAAAAAATATCTGAAAGCAAGGGAAACACCAAAAAAGTCAGGCACAAATCAAACAACAAGCAAATGCAAAAAATTAATTAATTAAGATTTTTTTTTCTTTTTTGACTTTGCCAACGAACGTCGGCAACACGTGAGTTTTTTGTGGGTGGTCGGGCGTTGAAAAGTATATGTCTGCTTATGTTGTTGCCTTAGTTCTTGGCTTTAGTGGTTGTTTTTTTTTTTTTTTTTTTAAGGTTTTTTAGTTTTATTTTTATGGTTTTTGTCATAGTTGTTGCTCATCTGGAATATGTCGAATATTTCACTGCACTTTTTCATGGCTGTCGTCGTTGCGCTGAAATGCCTTGAGATGTAATTGAAAAGTGAGCAAAACAAAGCTAAACTCGGCTTTATAAGTAAGTACTACTAAGAACTTGAACATATGTACATATATATATATATATTTAAATTCTAGAAACTAATTGCGGAATTCCATTTAACAAGTGGTTCAGGCTGTGGTCAAGAATTTTGGTTTATCTTTGACGCATTTGTTTTTTATCTATACTTTTTAGTCCCTATGTCAAAATACGATTTTAACTTTATTTTTAATTAATATAAATATATATATTTTATTATCATTCCATAGACACTGCTTAATCAGTTGGAATGCATTCGACTCTAGTAAAAATATAACAAAATATCCCTGGAAAAAAAGGAAAAGGAAGTTGAAGGTGGGCAAATAATCCTTGGGGGCATTGTGGGGTTAAAAGTAAACGAAGTCGGCAAGGCCAACAACAAGGAATTGAAACAAAACGAGCCAGCAACAACAACTGAATGAAATACAATAAAATTTTAAAACAAACAAATGCAAACACATATACAGGGGCAAACACAACACACACACAGATACAAACACAACAAGGAGCCAATGCGAATGCGACTAATGAGCACTGAAACAACAACAAAGCAGCTCAACAAGAAGAAGAAGTAGAAATGATGGGGAGGGGTGGGAGGGGACCGACAGACTGAGAGGGCGGGGATGACAATAAACCCTCCACCCCAAACCCCCCTGAAATAAACAAATAGCACTAAAACCAATGTAAGAAACAATAAATTTGTAATTTTCGAAGTTATTGTACCCCGGCATCTCCGGGAAAAGTTATATTTTTTATATTTAAGACCTTAAATATTCTTCTTAAAACCTAACATTTAAATATAGAAGACAGATAGAAAGGAAAAAACATATAAATAATATTTTTTATTATTTTATACATATATTGTTAAGATCATAATACAGAAAATAAGTAAAAGTAAACAATTTCGCTAGCCAATTATACCCAAGGATTATCCCAAAACACTGGGTAGCAAAGCAACAACAACGACAAGGACAAGAAACAGTTTGTGTTGTATAGTAAAATGCTTATTTACGCATACAATTGCACGTGAGCGGTCGACAGGCGAAGGCGGGAATGAGGAAAGGAGAAAGATGTGGTGAGTGCGAGGGGGACGGCATAAGCCCCCCGGGGGGTGAAGCAACGAGGGGAGGCGGTGGGTTAAAATAGGAAGTTTTGTTTGCAGTGCGCACAGCAACGGAGAGACAAACACAACTGTAACTGTAATTGTGTGTTTGTTTGCTCGAAACTTCGCCCCACTTCGGTGCAACCCAACCACACCCCCCTTAAACACCCCTCACCACCCACAGCTGTCTGGCTTCTGTTTCCCTCATTCTTTTGGCCAAATAAAAAGTTTGTTGAGAACATTTGCAAATGTTTGTTTTAGAAAACGGAAAATGCTTCGTTTGTTTCATCATTATCATCATGTTTTGTATTTGTCTTTGTTTTGTTATTTTTTTTGTTTCTTTTGGCTTCTTCGTTTATTGCGCCCTTACTTATTCTTCTTCCGTTCCTTTCTGTTTCCACTCTCTCTTGTTCTCAAAGTGCAATTCCCGAAAATACAATTAATTTTTGTCTTATACTTAACATTTCGCATTTTTATGTTATTTTATTCTCAGATCCATGAATCCATAAATTAATAATAATTATGGATTTTTTGTAATAAGAATTAAGGGGTCGTTGTAGTTAAGATTATTTTAATGTATTTCTTATTGAAAATTAATCATAGAGTATTTTAATATTTACTCACTTTATTATTATTTAATATTTTTATTTACCATTCTGCGAAAAGCCGTTAATTTATCATATATTAACATTTATAATACAACCATATAATATACCTGTTTTACATATCAATTTTTATATTTATAGGGCATTCGATGTTCAACAACATCGATTAATTATTTGCCTGGAATTGTTTGGGTTTGCTCCTTGTTTGCTTCATCGTCATCGTATATTCGTATTCGTCGTCTGCTACTTTTCTGTAGTTTTGTTTATTTTATTTGTTTTGCTTTGTTTTATTTTTGTTTGATTTACGTTTGGTCGAAGCATGTACACTGTCGAAAATAATATTTTACAACAAAAAAAGATATTTAAGAACACTAAAATAAGAAGTACTGCGATGCCACAAAGATAATAAGAAAAGCTATAAATTAAGGCTTTAAAGAAATTTTAAATATTTTTCTTCTTACTTAGAAATGTTGGATTTTTTTTAAGTATTTCGAGGAGTTTCTTCTATCCCTTACAAAGAACCTGAGTCACCACCCACTGCTACACCTCCTTTTCAAAACGCCCACCTCAAATTGTTGGCCTGTCGCCGTGTTTTGTTTTTCTTGTGCTGCTTCTTCTGTTTTTCGGCTTGGGGGGAAAGTGGCGAGTTTTTCTTCTTCTATTTAATTTTGTTTTATTTTTTGTTGTTGCCCGCTCTTGTTGTATTTTGTGTAGGTGTATTGACTTAAAGTTTTTTATACTTCTTTGCCTTTTGTCTTTCAGTTCTAGGTTCAATTTCTGTTTCTTAGTTATGCCTCTTCTTCTTTTTCTTGGTCCTGGCCATGTTGTTGTCTTTGGCTTTGTTGGTTGAAGGAAACGCCTTCGAAACATTTCAGTGTTTGTCCTTCGGATGGTTAGTTTCAGGAATTTCACCAAGTTTGTTCGGGGCGGTTTCCATTCTTATATTATTTCTCTTTGTTTTTTTCGTTTAACTTTTAGGTCATACTTTTAGCAATGTTCTTATTCGTCAAGCATTTTCCTTCAAACATATTATAGTCTCAGATCCGAAATTTTCTTGCATTCGGATATGTGTGTTTCAAAATCTTCAGTAACTAAATATTTTTATTGTTCGTAGTGAAACAAGGAAATAGAAGACCCTGAAAAAATGAATAAGCTAACTAAAGAATGGTCAATGTCTCGTCTTTGTAGACCAAAGGATAATCTTACCACAGTGGCTGGAAAAAGGCCACGCTTTGTACCATCTTGCGAACTAGAGGTGATTATAAAATTATATTCCTAGTATTATATTAGGCTTTTATTTGTTAATCGGATGTATGTCCTAAATGGGTACAAAGCCCACTTAAGTAGGCAATAAATGATGGTTTCAATTGCTTTCTTTTACAGTGCTCTCCGGTAAATATGGCCTGTCTGATTGGCTGGGAATATGCACGGATTTGGCTGCGGGATCGCGACAAATTCGTCAAAGAACGTAATCGTGCAGTTAAAGCTAAATTTATCAAAAACGACTTCGAGTGGTGGTTAAAGCTGCGCAAAACCTCCAAGAAGTTCTGCAAAGTTGAGGGCTAAACCGTGACCTTATCTTTATAAAAATATATATTATTGGCATATCTCGGCTAAATTTTTATTTAATAAGAAAAACAAAATATATATTTTTGATACACTTGCAGTTGGCCACACTTCCTGAGCCTTCAAACAGTCTTACCCCATTAAAATCGTCGGAAAAACCAAAACTGTGCTCCCGATTTCACAACCAATTTCATTTAGCATGGACACACACCAAATTGGTTTGGTCTCTGCTAACGTTTTCAAAGAGCTCATGTAAAATATTTGTAATAATTGGTTAAGAGAACAATATAAATCGGAATGATATAATTATGAATTAATTAATTAATTATGAATCAATTTTATAATTTCATGGAATTAAAAGCCTTAAAATATTGTCCCAAAATAGGTTTTAATTTTTCCATTGCATATATATTCCTGATCAGCATTAAATGTAGTGTTTATATATGATATAACTTCATTTTGATTGTCCGTAAACTTAATATTCGATTTCAATTATAAATGAACAAAAGATCTTCAAATATTTTAAAACATAATTATTTGATCGTGTTAATAATATTTTATTAAACTCACATTAGTCATACTAATAAAGTAGTATTATTTGTTTTTGTTTATTTTTGAAAACAGCTGTTTGTACTTCTGCCGGCGTCACGAAAGCAACAATTCTTGCCCTCGAGAAGCTTTCACATGAGCGTTTTGAGAGATTCTCTTCATACAGGTTGCAGGTTAGGAAAATTGCTCAGTATTGATACACTCACTACCACCCAACCCACTCCCCCTTATCACTCTCTTGCTTGCACATTCACTCACTCACCCTCATTGCGGTTTTTATCGGCTTCCCACGCGTTGAATTTTCTGAGCATACGCAGAGGCAGAGGCTAAGACAGCGCAGTCGGTAACCTCTTTAAATTATACTAGATATTTTAAATATCCTTACTAAAAGTGGTTATGTCTGACATTAAAATTTTTTACAAATTATTGTTCATATAATTTTATTTTTATTTATCCTTCTGCTAATGTTTAGGCTAACATGATTTGTTCTCTTAGATGCTATACAAATGATATTATGATATCACATCATGTACGCGCTCAAAATTAACTGATCTTTTTATTTAAATATTTTAAATTCCTAACTTAGTGTGGACTCGAACCCTAAAATAACTCAATTTCAGGACTTTTTGTGGGTGGCAACAACTTCAACGCCCACACAGCAAATGTAAGAGTCAAACTTGTGGAATGAGATAAAGAAGGGATATCCGAAGAACTAAACTTTACTCTTATACACCAAAAAAAATGTTTACTTAGTAGAAAAATAGCTGCAACTCAACCTTTTTTTTATTTTACTGCGCTTTTTAAAACAGTTACAATTAAATTTGAGAAATTGAATTTAATTTTATGTAAATTAATTATTTTAGTTTTAATTTTCACTTTTATTTTGAAAAAAAAAACAATTTTAAAGTTTTTTATTGGTAAAGTACCAATAAATCAAGTAAAGACTTTATGTTTTTAATGGTTAATGTCTTAACTTTGTCGATGTAATTACCGTTAGTTACAAAACAAAGAGCATTGTAAGAGAGCGCTTAAGAGTGCTGCAGGCGCAAAGCTTATGGGGGCGTGAGGTAAGAGAGAGACTGACGACGGTATCAGCCGCTTTTGCACTCGACTCAATGCGAAGTGTTTCCAACCGCCAGAGAGAATCTATATAGAGGGGCTCCGCCGACTTGCTTCGAATATGTTTTTCGCAGCGCGCGCGTTCGCATCGGAAAATCAGAAAAGCTGCCGAGCATTTAATAACAAATTCGGCAATTACAATTGTTAGTTTTTTTGTTTCCCCCTCAACCACCACTCAAATGACTATTTCGTCGCAGGTTTTTCATCTGCAAAAATTGTCGTAATCGAGCGTTGATCGTTTTCATTTCGCAAAAATCGTTATATGTTATAAAATACTTATTACGCATTTTGAAGGGAAAAAAAAAAAAATCAAAGAAGTGAAAATCAAAACAAAACAAAATAAAATGTTGGCTGCCTTTTGCGTTTTGCGCGTACGTGTGTGTTTTCTGTGTGAGTGAGTGCAGCAAAAAAAACCGAAAAGCCATAAATAAATAAATATAAAACAAAGGCAAAACCGAAATCAAATGCAAAATACTTGCAAAGTAAGTTGATAATATGAGATTGTTGTGTGTGTGTTAGCATATGTTGCATTATTTGGGATATAAATTTAAATATTTATTATGTGCTATTCAATCATATATGGTAAGTTAGTTTTTGGGTTATTTTAACGGTTTTTGGAGATGGTTTCTTCATTGAGAAATTTGAAAAAATGCTTACAATATGTTAGCATACAGACATACACATCGGAGCGGCGGCTAACTGTTGTCTGTGTATATGTGGGTGAATTGGCAATACCGCGCACGTGTATTAGTGCGGGCTTGTTTTTGTTGCTTTTGCGGCCAAGTGGCAGCAAAACGTTGCAAGCAACAATAACAATGATGGCAAAACAAGTGCAGTCAGCAAAACCAACTCAACCAGTGCTTCTAGCGCCCTCTCACTCTTTCGCACTCTCTTTTTCTCTGCAGTATTCCCCTGCTGTTTCCCATCTTACTCCTTCTCCTTCACACTTATTGACGCAACTGCATGGTCAGGGCTTCTTTAACTGTTACAAAGTTTATGCGTAACCTGTTTCGGAATAGATTTTTGTGCTGGAGATCTCTTGCTCACAATGAGCTTGGTTAGTTTAAAGTTGTTGTTAAATTTAATACAAATATCTTTGAGCACACTTTATAATATATAAATCGGTTAATTCCTGAATTTTGCGGCATGAACTTAGCAATTTGCTATCTATGGTCGTCTTTGGATTTTGGCTTCGCGCTTTTTGCTCTTCGCATTTCGCTGCTCTCTTTGCGCCAAACAAAGCTCAACCGACACTTGTCGCGCCTTTTGAGTGTCCCACCTCCCACAGCCCACGGCCTAGCCTGCCCCTTGCTCTCCGCCGCTATGCTGTATGTCTGGCTCTTTATATCTTTTACAATTTTTACTTCGGTACACTGAACGAAAAGTATGACTTGGATGCTGTAGTAAAGAAAAATGTTCATCATAATTCAAATAAACCAAAAACTTTTCAGAGAAGTTCATTACAATTTTTTCGAAATATAAAAGTAAATTTTATCAGCTCTTTGTAATAATTAATTTTAAAGTGTAATCTCTTTTGCTTTTCCACCTCGGGGGTTTTTCGCTCGAAGCTTTTGCGAGTTTCGTTCGATTTCCATTTGCTTTTAATTGCATTTATGCATTTTTAATCGAGTTTGACTTTGCTAAGCTTTTTACTTTGGCATATGGTAGTTCGTAGCCTAGAAAAAAAGGTGCAGGGGAATAGGGGGAAATGGTCTCTTACAGATCCACAAGATAAGTCTCAGTTTCGCCCTTTTTGGTAGTGAGATGTTTGGACAAAGTTTTCTAATTGGCCTTGACGCCGTTTTCAGACTTTTAGTGGTAGTAAAAGGCAATAGTGCGAAATTTTCTGCGCCTCAAATGAGATAATTTATTTGCAATTATAATTTGGTTCATTAAAGCTAATTGAATTAAGGGTTGGCGTAACGTTTTTAGCAAATGGAATGACAATGGTTGCGGTGGTAAAGATAAAAAGACGTTTATTAATTATAAATATATAGTGAAGTTTTGATACCATTGTCTATCCCTTTTTCTTTTATATATATATAAATATTTTTACTAAATTAAATTAAATAAAAATATAACTATTCTCTTATTTATATAACTTTTTATATTTTTACTGTTGCCACAATATTTTCGACTTATCTCAACAGCTGTTGCATCCTAAACAAACATTTTTTGTGCTTAACTTAGTCCTTTGGAAAGCTCAATCAATGTCGCAGTTCTCCACACATATAAACCACCCACTTTCTAGCGACTCTCTAAGCTTCTACACCCCACACTGCACAGTTTTTGCAACTTAACATATGTTTATCTGCTAATCATGGAAATGCGATGCGGTGTTGCAAAATATTTAACTAGAAAGCCCCGAGTAAAAAAAGGGAAATACGCGAAACAGCTTTTCCGAGGAACAACAACAAACAGCAAACCAACCACCTCTCTTACTGGTTTCCCAGCAAGGCGACTGAACATATGCCAAAAAGCTAAACCAAAAATCGCACACACATTTAGGGATACAACGAAATACGGACGAAAAAATAAGCAGGCTGCTTTGACATTTTGTTGTCTGGCCACGTGCTCATCTCGAACAAGGTCTCCCATAAGGGAAATTGCTCTATTAGGGTGGCTCACTTTTTTTAAAAACTTAAAAAAAAAAAATACTTCTACTCTTTTTAGTTGATATCTAGTATTTAAGGCATGAATATGGTGCATTGGTTTTTCAAGGCTTGAAGAAAAGAAAGGAGTAAAAATTCTTAACAGAGTATAGCCGGCTTTCCAAAATGTATACACAATTTTAGATCAAAAACAAATGTTAATAATAATTTTTTTTTTAAAAAACATCATTAACGAACCTTAATATATATATCTATATATATATATATATAAACAAATATTTTTCCGTAGCTTTCATTTTCTTCAAACTGTTGATTTTAGGTTATAAATAAGCTTAGATCGACGGACCCTAATAAAAAGATACATTGAGGCACACATTTCGTACATTCGCACATCGACACACACAAATAATTCGCTATGCTATGTATGCCAGTATGCCGAAAAAAAGGGCAAGACATAACTTCACTCGCTTTTGTCGCTGCCCACGCGTTACGGTCCCAAAAGCCACCACCCACTAAGCCCACCCAACTAACCTGACACCCGGTCACCCACTAAAACCACCCACTGACGAGTTCACCCAGTCAGCCACCATGTATGCCTTAACATTTACCTTGTTGGCCCGAAGTTGTCTTCCAAACATTTGTTGCACTGTTCGTGTGGAATTCGTTTCTCACCATGCTGGTTATTCACCAGGCTTTTCACGGTACTTCTCTCTCATTCTCTCTCTATCTGTCTTTTTCCGCCTTTCTCTTTCTCTGTTTACATGGCTTGCTCTCTGTCACTCTCTTTGAGGTAACCGACGCCGGTCCTACGTCATCGCAAAGGTCAAAGAATATCAGCTAGAAAAAACCATATAAAAAGCAACTATTACACGTAGACTAAAAACGAAACTTTATAATTTTCTAAAAAAAATTTTTTTTATTTTTATTTTGTAATTTTTATGATACAGTTGCAAAATATATTTTTTAAGTCGCTATTTTACTAGACTTTTTTAAACTTAATATTATAATATTCAGATGAATTTTTTAAGTGTATTAAAGCTTTTTTGGGAATTCAAGGGATGCTGGCTCTGTGCGTCGGGAAAAAGGGACCGACCCCTCGAAGGATGCCAGTGCAGATAGCGTGGGGAGCCTTTGGTGGGTGTCCAACCATATGGTCAATTCAATGCACAGAGCAAATTGCCACTTGGCGGAGGCGACGCTTCATTTGGTTTTCAAATTGAATAGAAAGCGTCGCGACAATGTCGGGCGTCTCTCATTGCCACCCACTTTCCCGAATATATAGTACATTTGCTACGAACTCCCTTGCATTTGAGGATTCGCGTCCTCCGCTAATTGAGACATTTGTCAACTTGCGTAAATGAGCAATCATTTCTCAAAGGCAACCTCTCATTGGCCAAGGGAATTAGGAGACGCACGAAATAATGGTATATTCCCAATTGCAACTTTGTGATTTAATCCTCGACTCGTAATATAATTATTTTTAAAAATTCTAAAACAAATACATATTAGTATAAATAAAAAACAAGAACTTGAATTTTTGTATAAACATTTATGACCAAAGGTTTGTGCAACAGAACAGATAATTTTCATCAAATTATTTACAAGATTCTGAGGCAAAAGATATGGTATTTAACACTCTGTAACATTGGCTATTTGATAGGCTTTGATTTAGCCATCATAGATGGCGTTGGTTTTATGTGGGTCGATATAGTGGTTATGTTCTGCACTCTAATTTTTTCAGATGGTTTTGGTTTTTCCGGCTTCAAGGACTTGATAGACTTGGTACTAGTTATTTTCTCCATTTCGGACATTAATAGACTTTTCTGTGCTATAATCTTCTTGGCTTTAGCCGACTTCGGCTTCTCTGGAATATCTTCCTTGTCAAGGGCTCGCATCTCGTGCATAAGTGTGTCAAAGGTCATATTCACCAAGAAATACCGACCTTTTAAATGTAAAAATTCTATGATTCACCTATGGATATATTGTAATATCTTACCATCGAGTTTCTGCAGAAATCCCAAACGATGTCCCATCTCAAGGGTTTGCTTGACGGGCACCTTAAGCTCATCCTGCGGCAATTCTGTGTTCTTAGCTATGGTTACCACGATTTCTCGCAGTGTCGCTGGCGAGTTGAGCAACTGAAGTGCGTGCACTATAATAGCCCCGTTGAAGTTGGGCATTTTTTGTTTTTTTTCTATACTTTTTATTGTATAAATGTGTGCGTTCTCTAAAAATGATTCTAGAAACTGGGAGCTACGTGCAAAACACTAAATTAAACTGAACAGCTTTGTGTAGGATTTTAGTGACAATAGAGTTCCACGCTTGCTTTGGATAAAAAATGTCGAAGTTTTTTTTTGGGACCTAAAACCTTTTTAAATCTTAAAAACTGGGAAAGGTGTACCAGAAGATGACTTTCTTTTGTTTTCAGCCAACTGGAATCGAAATCCTTGGTCAAGCTCAAATTGCCCACTAGGTGGTAAGAAGATTTACGTCGATTGGTCGACGTCAAACGTTTATCTATCACCCTTACAGGCGTTGGCCAATATAAGGGGAGTTGGCCCTATCTATCAATAATCCACGACCCATAACAACAGGAGTGGAAAAAGAATTGAGCAAACTTTGCCACACAGTGTTGTCCAATATTGGCTTCTGATATTTACATCTGGGATGACTTTGTGCTGACGTTTTTCGCTGTTGCTACTACCGTTGTACCTAATCAGCATGGTCTAAATATAGATTCACTGACCGCCCACACAACTCTTCGGTAATCGCCCCCAGAATGTATACCATATGGAAGTTTAATTAAACTCGGTTGAGTAAAAAAAATAACGAAAACGAAAAAAATGCAAAGAAAACAAAGAAAGATGTTTTCACACAAGCCAAACAAGGACAAAGTTCTTTGGTATCAATCATGTTTATAGTGGCAATTAAAGCTTTAACAGCTGTCAAAGCCAACTGACAAGCCAAGATGTCAAAGCTGATGCATCATCGTCGTCATCACTAGATTAAGTGATGGAAAAGCTGAACGAAAAGCTTTAAACGAAGTTAAAATAATTTTATTTATTTTTAAGATCAAAATGTTATGGCCGGATGCAAGGATGCAAAAGACAGTTGGAAAAATACAACCCCTCTTGTTTATCTCTGTTATTGACAGCCAACGGTAATTTAATCAAAAAGTGTCAGAGATGGCCATATGGCAGCCATTGAAGCGTTGGTTTCGGCGCCAATAAAAAGCCAGTTGAGAAGAATATAACGGCAAGAATATTCAACGTTTTTTCAAAAGCCCTTTTTTACATAAAAACTGTGGTGTGGACCTTAGTAAAAGTTGACCATTCTTAAAGTTCTTTTAAGCACAATTTTTACACAATATGCTTGTGGGCAGCGCATTAAAGTATGCTATGCTTTTCGCCTCAGAGCCTAGCTTGCCTGTATATGTTCGAGCAAGAGATGTATCTACGTGTATGCAAAAATGTTGATGTGGGTGGGTTAAATTCTATTTGATTTCCGTTAGGGATCAGCACCCAAAAATAGAAGCGTCAAAAAATCAGGGACACCAAGCTCTCCGGCCAAAGCGAACATTTATTTAACATGTTTGATGTTTTCCTCGGCAAAATGTAGCATTTCTGCCCCAAAAAACAAGCAAGCAAATGCCGGACTACCAGGAAATTCGTTTGTTGATTGTTTGGTTTCAACGTTCTGTACAGTAGAAAAAAAAGAAGTATTTCCAAAATGAAGCATTTCACACACACGGAAATTCCTTTCTGGCTATGCCATTTAAAATGCAGTACAAATGTTATTTTAACACTTGTCAACGTGCACAGAATGGATTATTTATTATTATTTATTATTTATGGCAAGTGAGAAAAGTTAAATTTAAGGCATTGGAATAAATGTTCAGAAGAATTTATTTAAGAAGTATCATTTTGAATGGGGTTAAAGCAAGGTTCGTGTCATCTAAACTTTACATTACAAAATATCATATGCAGTTTGTAACATAATATATTATATGTGTTAATGTGTACATCCGCTTCCGTATCAATATTTCCTCTTTATTCATCGAATTCGTTTAAGTATAATTTGTTAATCAAATATGCTCAATTGAACGGAAATCCTCTATATCAAACTGGCAAACGCACACTCACGTGTAACGTCACATCTTCGTTGACATTTATGCGGAGTCAACCTATATGCACACAGTGAGCTCTAAAGGTGTATATATATGTGTGATAAACGACAGCTTCTGCATCCCGACAGTTATACTTGCTGTGTTTTATTCGAAAGGATGACCTGTCCGGCTACCCTTTCTCCTTACTCACCTTCATTGTTTACTTACACCCAAAGAAATAATGGATTATGCTAAGAATTTACTTAAAATTTGTTTGTAATAAGAAAACAGAATAAAAATGTATGCTAATTAATTCAAAAAAATTGCACTTGCCCATTACGAAATGGGTAGAATCCAAAAGTATTTTTTTTATCATAATTCAAGATTTAAAGGCAATACAAAAACAAGAGGAAACGCTATAGTCGAGTGCCGCGACCATAAGATACCCGTTACTGTTTTACAAAATTTTAAAATATTATTTTGCTAGTGGAAATTCACAAGGCGCCACCTATTTTCAGAGGAAGTATGTTGAGTATGCTTATAGTGACGTCACTTCCCATGTGAGGCCTTATAACCTTAATTTCTTCATAAATAGCGAAATAATGTTCCGATTTGAAAAATCTTTGGTAAATCGATAGATATTAACAAAAATAAGTTATACAAGGTCAAACGAAGGCATTCATAATAATATTATAGACGCCACAGTTTTCCGCGGTTTGTGGGCGTCAGAGTAGGCGTGGCCGGATGCAACTTCGTGGAAAGTTGCAAAGGCATCTCCTAAATACGTGATCCTAAACAAAATTATGTAGCTCTTATAGTTTTTGAGATTTTTGCATTTTTGGTTGTTCAGATTTTGTGGGCGTTAGAGTGGGCGTGGCTTGATCGAAAAAAAACAATTCGCATTGGGAGCATAATAGAAACCTACATGCTTAATCCGAACTTTCTATCTTTTATAGTTACCGAGATATCAGCTTTTCTAGAAAATCCGAAAACCGTCTTTTGAGCCTTGTGGGCGTATGGGTGGGTGTGGCCGGATAGTAGTACCACTATAAGATGCGCTGCCAATTAAAGATTATAATTTTTGAATTTCAACTTTCTAACTGCAATAGTTCCTGAGATTTCAGCAATTTTAGTTTTTGCGATTTGTGGGCGTTAGAGTGGGCGTGTCAGGATGCTGTAATAAACTTGCGCTTTCCGGGACCTCAAGAATCTTCATGCTTAATCTCAACTTTGTATCTGCTATAGTTCCTGAGATCTCAGCGTTCTACGGACGGACGGACGGACGGACGGACGGACGGACGGACGGACGGACGGACGGACGGACGGACGGACGGACGGAAAGACGGACATGGCTCAATCGACTTCGCTATTGATCCTGATCAAGAATATATATACTTTATAGGGTCGCAAATGCTTCCTTCTATCTGTTACATACTTTTCAACGAATCTAGTATACCCTTTTACTCTACGAGTAACGGGTATAATTACAAGACTTTAAATGTTATTACTAAGTTGTTTTCCAAATTGAAAATGTAATTTTTTAACTATTTATGGATCGACAACAGGTAAGATTTATTTAATTTTCCTTGGCTAATTGTGTTTGACATTTCAGTTAATTTCTTTATGTGTTTAGTGTTCTGTCTGCTGACCATGTTTTCGTTTTATAAAGACCATGCAAGTGACAAATTATATGCACACTGTTGGGGCAAAGGGACTGCGGAGAGACAGATGAGTTGTGCGAAAGTGTCAGCATCAGTGTCAGTTTGGGTTTTTCCAAGTAAAATGTTTTATGTGCATCCAGCGAGACATTTTTGGCCTTGTGAAATATGAGTTGCACTTTGCAGCTACCAGAATACAGGCAATAAACTTTGACCTGCTCCACCTATGTGCCATATACACATGCATATGTATACACCCTGTGATATCTCGTATATCAACTAATTGCACTTTGTTTATTGTCCATGTGTGTGCGGCATCCTCGTTTTTGTGGGCTTTGTAATTTTGTTTTATGTCTGGGACGTGCTTTCTTGGCCAATTGGAAATGTTATACCCATAGATTGTCAATTTTAATTGACTTGTTTCTCCATTGCAAACCAGACGGTGCAGCTGTTGCCAAATGTGATTTGCATTTTGTTGATTCACAAGAATTAAATACAGATCCGGACGGAGCTGTCTAAATATCAAAAAGATACAATGCTTAAGAAATTATGATTGGGTTTAAACCACATTTCTTGCTTAACAAGCATTAAGTGCGAGCCCATCTACAAAACGATGCCTAAAAGTATGCAACAGCACTTTTTCTTGTTTTAATGTTTTCTAGCAGCCACAATTTTTCTTTTTCTTAAATTTTTTGTCTAAGTCAATTAATTGAAGCCTTTTGTTTAATTTTCCCCCTTTCACATTTTCCCGTCTGACGCTAGGCGTTTGCGTCATTTTCATGCGGGCAACTTTTACGCACTTGCGTGTTAATTACTCACACCGTCTTTGGTCTGCCGCTGCTTTCCCGATTGTTCGCCACCACAATTTTCCGGACTTTCCTCCATTTTGCCTTTACATATTTTGGCTTAAATCCTTAAGCTCCTTTCACAGTTTGCCTGTCTGCAAGCCGATTTCTACATTTGTTGTCACCCTCTGCGGGGCATTTCGATTATGGTTATAAAGCCATTTAGCCAAGATGGAAATATAAGAGGCACAAAATTCTGGTAGATACTTACAATATTTTATTATTTTACTAAGAACGAGAAAGGGATTTTAATTGTTTTTTTATATATATTTGAAATCGAATTTATTTTAACACATTTCTGTTTTGGTTTAAAGTTCTCATTTATTAAGGACACATTTTTTAGTGCACAAACTAAGATCATTTATACTTTTGTTAAAGTGTATTTCGTTGTTCGTTTAGTTTCCGAACTTAAACTTTTTATCAGGATTTCCCTTTTGTGTCGCCCACACAGCCAGGAGAATGTAGGCTAAGTGCTGCTCGCTTATTTCGTAAGAATTTCCTTTTTTATATCTACTCTAAGCCAAAAAATATAATATAATAATAATCTTATTTGAGTTATTACAAAAATAGAAGTATGGGTCGATATATATATTTTTAAAACTGTTTATTTTTAAATTGTTTGTAAGCTTAAATCATTTTTGACCTACTTTTAAACCGCTTCTAACTAAGTCGTGTAAATTATGAAATATTTCTCTCCGATTTAATGAGAGCATTTCCTATTCGTCTTATGAATTCCCTACATCGCGGTCTTATCAGTTGAGGGGCTTAGGCTGCCGGTTGTGGGACTACATATAAATTTCCCTTTTGTGCGGCTCCTTTCTCAGCATCCTCCCCGTAGCCCTCATCATCGTCTTGAAGGACCTGCTGCAACATGTTTGCATTTCATTTGTTAGCAAGTTGTCAACATTTTATCTATGTTATTATGTCTTGCCTACATTTTTGCTCCTTTCTTTTGCTTTCGCTTCTTTTTTTCTTGTTATACTTTATCTTTTTCCCCCGGTTTCTTGCTAAGCTTAAAGGTAAGCCATTAAAGTTTTCGAGAAGGGGGAGAAGGGAGGTCGTTATGTGAAGGGGCGGTCTGTCATTAGTCAAACGTCATGTCATATGAATGGGGTGTGATGAGCGTGCAGCGAATTTATCATTGGGTCGCATCTTAGATAAGCCCGGACCACGGTGCGTATGAGCAATAAAACAAATTAATACAAATATTAATCATACGCCGCGTGGGACCCAAATGCCAAAAGACCAAGAAATGCCTGGCAAAAAAGAGTAAGCGAAACATCAAAAGGGTCAGCTAAGCGCAAAATTCAAACATCTTTTATTTCCGTTTCGTAATCCAAGCGAATTCTTAATATGAAAGGGAAATTGGAGTCGTAAATAGTTTTCTGGTTATTAGTATTTGAGCTTATTGCTGCTTTTTTACAGGCGAGTCACGGGTATATTAAAATTGTTAATATTAATATTAAAAAAATATATTTTTACAAACATATCATATTTTGTTTATTCGTAAGATTCTTTTTATAATTATTTTAAGAAGCATAATATTGGATATTTTTGAACCTTACATTGTACCAGGACTTTGAAACATTTTTTCCGAATTTGTTTTGCCGGTGGTCACAAAAATCAAATAAAACTTGTTGCGTTTGCTGCAAAATTGGTTTCGGTTTTTCGATAGTTCCCGCTCACTCATGCGTCGTGAGATTGGGTAGTCCTCAGAGAGTAAGAGAGTTTTCTAGGAACACGGAGAGTACATTGAGGAAATCACTCAATGGTGAGTGAAAATTTCTGAGTGCAAGTCTGCAGCTATGGGTTTAAGATTAGGCATAAGATTTTTGTAAGTAAGAGAATACGAACCGAATACTTAGAGAGAGATTTGCCAAAGTTTGATAGCTTATAAGGAAAATTTCTAAAACTTAAAGTAGTCATTAACAAAGGTTAATCTAAGATTAGAGTTAAGGTTAGTGATAGTGCCTTAAGCATGGCATGTTAATGCGTTTGAACTTTCCAAGAAGTTGATAGTGTTCGGTAATGATCTTTGATTGGTTCCTGATACGGATGGTGAACTTAAAGTTGTAAGTTCTTTTCTATTTCTAAGAATCGATAAGCCAATGTGAAATATATTTATTATATATTATTTATATTTATAAATGCAATCATATTTCTCAGTAAAAAGATTAGCGTAATCAGGCATTTAGTGTGCAGCTTTCATCTTATAAAAACTGCACAGCTAAGATGAATTAAATTAGTTACAACTTCAATACGATCGTGGCAGTAGCGCAATAAATATAAAATATTAAAAATGCTAAAGCTCATATTGGTTTTTTTATTCGCAATAATTGCTGTAAGCATCTATGGAACTGTGGAAGGTTGCACTATAAGTCCATGTCCAACGATCTTTCCTAATCAGTACCCGTGGAACCGACAATTCCCACGCAATTTTCCATATTAATGTGTTTTTGAATACCTAATTACCTATAATTGGTAGACAAAAAAGGCAATAATAAAAAAAAACTGAAAATACGAGATAAATGGTGTCTTACTTTATTAATTTTATTGGGTATGAGAAATATTTTAACAATTTATTTAAAGTTGTCAAAGTGTTTTATGTGTAATTCTTGGCATAAATTAAATTATGTTTAGTGGTTAATAATATGTATTTACAGTTTCTCCTTTACCCACCACCACCTATTGGCCTGGCTTAAAGGGACTTTAATATCTTTACTTATTCTGTTGCTTTATTTATTTTTTGTTACCATCTTGCAGCGCTAATTAAATTTGTTGGCTTACGCTCACGCATACTTAAACACAGGCACACAAGGACATGCCCATACACACACACGCACATATATATATCTCAGCCCACACGGAAAACCCTTTCCACGTCATTCCTTTGGCGTTGCAAACTTAATTGCATTTTTCCAAGTTTGCAGGAGAGCAAAGGGGTTCTCCAACTTTCCCCTCCCCACTGATGCTTGGCATTATTAACAATACTGGGGTGTTTGTTTTGCAATGCCACGCCCACCTAACTATCTTTTATGATTGATGCGGTCAAAGATGCTTATTAAATAAATTCTGTACAATAATTTGATGGTCACGCATAGTTTTGTTAATTATGGTTTACCCTTTTTTGGTTTGTTTCTATTTCAAAATAATGCCACCCACTCATTATATTTGGATTGCCCGATTATTTTTCTTATTTGAAAATGTTTCTGCATTTCAATTATGAAATCGTGCGTTCGGAAATGGAAATGAGTTCACAAATATTTTGTGGCTGTTTTGTAAACAGTTTACCCTGGTTTTCCGCCATCCGCGTTTAATTAAATGCACTGAAATATTATCAAATATATTTTAGATAATTTTTATCCAATTGTTTTTATTTCGGTTTAGGCTATTTGATTTGAGGCTGGCTTTTACGCAAGCATAAATTCAGTTCTCTGTAATTAATTCTAACAAAAATTCATTTGTTTATTTGCAAAACAAACATGTTTTAAATTTCTCTACTGCCATTATTTTAGCAAGTTCAACCAATTAGCATTTGCCTGTTTGTTTTGTTTTAATGAGCGCTATTTAATCACATTAAAAATTTATTGTTTTTACCAGTTATTGACCATTTAATGGTAAACATTATCCAGCGGAAATTTTATTTGGTCGATCAAGTCAATTTATGAAATATTTTATTTCAATTTGGTTGACTTGATTTAATATTTAGTTATGTACATTTTTAGTCACAACTTAAATTCTGTAAATATTATTAAACTCACTTACTTAAGTGCCTTTGTACACAAATTATTATTAAATATTGAAAAGCAATAAGAAAAATAAAAAATGGCATGAGCTGTTGAAGAAAAATAAAAGTATTTCCCTGCAAAGCAGAAAATATTTGCATACAAATCCAATCAGAATTTTCATTATTTTACCATTGAACCCTTGACGCCCAAGGCTTAGTTCGTCGTAGATTCTGGAAATATTCTGACATATTTAAGTAGTGTAAATTGAATAGAAAATAACTTCCGGTATATTATATGTATTATTCAGTGATATGGCTGGCCGCAAGAGCTCAAACAACATTCTCTGGTGTCTGCTGGCAGGACACACATTGCTCATACGCCAGGTCGGCCGCATAAAATATTGAAATTGTTGACCAAAACGCAATTTACACATACATTTTGCATATTGACCAATCTCCGTATGTGTATATGTACTGCCATGTGGCAAAAGTTGTTGAATAGATTTTCATTTGCATTTGTGCAGATTTAGCTGATTTTGCCATTGCTATCGTTGTATCTTTTTTTGTCATTTATTTTGTTGTGTTTTGGTTTCATTAGATGTCGGCTTGGCAAAATAAATTTAAAGTAAATGCATTTAAATTAACAGCTTAAGATTAAACTGCATTTATTTACTAGCATTAAATATTTATTAAATGGTTTCGATTGCCACTCAGTTTAGGTTGCTTATGAAAGATAAACTAATTTTTGTTTAAATCCCTGGAGATGTCATTGGTATTTCCAGCTGTGATTATAAAAATCCATTTTTAAATTATTAAATTTTACCAAAAAACTATGCTTTTCTAAAGGAATTTCGTTCCACAAGTTGTGCAAACATTTTCAGTCATCGCTCTCCTTTCCTACTTGCATTTATGATTTGCTTTTAATTAAAATAAATATTTTATGACTTTCAATAAACAATCTGCTGGGACGCAAAGGGGCAGGGGCTCATAAAAAACAGCACAAGTTAAACTTTCGTCTCGAACTTGAGAGGGCAACGTTGATTGAAAGTGAAAAACTCCCTGAGTTAAACAATTTTCTTTCTGTTTTTCGTTTCGTTTCAGGCATTGCCAATCCAAAAGGTGTAAATAATTGAGGCCGAAAAACTTGGCCCTTATGCTTTTATCCCAGTTCGTGTGACTTCGTTTTTTAGCAGCAATATGACACATTCAGCTATAATCCTTAAAGGCAATCGTAACAAGTTGCAACTGTTGTCACAACGGAATCTCAAATTGCAATCGCTGATTAATGTAAAAATAATCTGTTATTACTAATCAAATAACTAAAGAAAATCTCAATTGAAACGAAAAGATTAGAAGAAAATGGCAGCAGCTGTCTTGGAGATTAATGAAAGCAAATTGGATTTGGCTTGCGATGAGTGCGACTATTACGGTACAACGGATACGATATTTATCGATAATAGCACTCAAACCGATGGCTATGACGATGACGAATCGGAGCTAAAGCCCCTGAAACCCAGATTGAGTCAAATAGTTGAAGAGGATTTGGAAATGGAAGGTGTTATTAAAGAGGAAGTGGAAATGAAAGTGGAAACACATGGTATACGAAACGATAACAATAACGATAGTGATAGTGATGTGAAAGCCTCGATAATTAATGAGCAATCAAAGGAGGATGAGGAGATCTTGGAAGACGTTCCGTTTGAAGAGAGTGAACCACACGTTGCCGAGGTGGCAGTTGACTCAGATGATGAAGCAGAAATCGTTGATGTGGCCAGACTCACCGGTTTAACTTTGGGTATTGGCTATGCCCGGATTATAGACTACGATAACTTTCGTATTATCGAACATGTTATCGAAAGCGATGATGAAGACGAAAATGATGTCGCTGCAGCTGGCACGGCAGAAACCTCAACGGAACTGCAGCAGGCCTGTCATGATTTGGTGACTTTCATCGGTGAAAGCTATCAGGTAATCGAAAGGTCAGGCCATAATCGTGAACCACCGGCAACATTATCAGTGGTGGACAACAATAATAACAATCGCAATAGCGATATATCCACAAATGGTCGTGGCGCTATCAACGAATGTTCAAAACCCAGCCGAAAAGTGCAAAATGGGCAGCAATCGAATCAAAAGGCAGTAACCAGTGCAGCTGCAACCAGCAGTAGCAGTAGCAGCAGCAACCACAATAGCACAGCTGCAACATCTACCAGCAGTGCATTGATAAAGGCTTACAAATCGAATCTTACTCCTTTGGCACCACCCTTTCAGCCTGCCGCCTTAAAAGCGAAGCAACTGCAACAGTCGTCGCTCACCAGCGGCAACATGTCTTCAGTAACGACAACAACAACCACGTCTTTGGGCTACACCGCCTACGAGCAGACAACGGTTTATTATCAGCAGCAAGTTCAACAGCAGCACCATCAGAAGCAGCTTCAGCAACAGCAGCAACACCCACAACAGCAACAGTTGTCACCCAAGCAGCACCAGCAACAGCAACAGCAACAACAGCAGCAGCAACAGCAGCAGCATCATTGTGCTCAACATGGCGGCTTGCCGCATATTCATGGCGCCCAACTGCTGCCCGTGCAGTTGATCGCCTTGCAGCCAAATGGAGTAACAGCAGCAGCAGCAGCTGCTGCAACAGCAGCAGTGGCAGCAGTAGGAGGAACTGTGGCAGCACCAACTCCGTCAGCAACAGCAGCGGGTGGTGCCTCAGCAACATCATTGACTGGCGCCGCTTGGCCACTTGTGGAGGCGCCAATTTACATTGACATCAATGGCGAATATCGCAGCTATTGCCCGGCACATGGACCGCCGGCCGTGGCAGCCCCAAATGGCGCCATTGCCCATCATCCGCACATCCACACTCACACCCATTCGCATTCACATGGCCATCATCCCCATCCGCATCACGCACAGCAACAGCAACAGCAACAGCAACAGCAGCTTCATCATCACCATCAGCAACATGGGCAGCATCAGCAACATTTGACGCCATCGGCTGTGACAAATGTTAATGGAAACATTGTACAAGCAGCAACGGCAGCGCCTAGATTGCTGCTGCAACTGGACGCAGCAACTGTCCAGCAGCAACAGCAACAGCAACAGCAGCAACAACAGCAGCAGCAACAACAGCAACAAATCGTGGCCGCTGGCAAGCGTAGCAAAGTTTATCGAGGTGAGTGGCCGTTTTATGACATTTGTTGTACAGTTTTTATTCCTGTCCATGATGCCCAGGGCTATTTGGGACCATATAGTTTGTCCAAAGAATAGGCTATGCACTGTTAAAAATTTTATGAAAATACAAATTTTATTTTTTAAATAATTTTGATAAGTATAATAATATAATATTAAATAAGTCAGTCATCAAATGTTCTTTTTAAAAACTGTTAGTAAAATATTCTTTTTGTTAAAACATTTTTCTCTGTGCACTGACCATATATAGAGTCTGGACGATCTAAAGTGTCTTCCCTGTAACTTTGGCCATTACTTTCCGCTTTGATTCATGGTGGCAACATGTAGGATGAGAGTTACATTGGCAAACCGAGACTCTATTTCCGGTACGCAGCCCTTCGCAGCCTCCCTTTGGCCGTCTGTAACCGACCAGGGACTTAATCAGTTAAGCAAAGCTAACTGAGACGGGACAACCAGCTAACTAGGCCCTTTAGTGTGTATGCCGTACTGGGTTAAAATTAATTTCGAAACCGTTGGTCGTTCCCTTTGTGCAGATTGTTTGCTTTTTAGGCCCGTCTGAGGTAGCAAAAGCATTGGGCAAGTTCTTGGCTTGTTGTTTGCCTGGCTTATTTGCCAAATAATCTGTTTGTTTGGCCATGCAATAAGTAGTTCTGGGCCCGTCATAAGTTGACATAGGCAGTTAGGACAGTGTTGAACCATCGACGGCCAAAGATTAAACAACAGTAGGAGCCAAAGGTGAAGGCAAATTGAGTGGTAATTGCGTTAACCGCACATAGACTGAGCGTTTTGGAATTAACTAAGTGTCCAAGAGGATTTATATAACTGGTTGGACACATTAGCTGGAAATGGAAAAGCTATCCTTTTTGTGCATTTTATGCAGAGAATAATCGCACTTCTCAATATCTCCAATACAAACGTTTTCTCTTCCTTTACCTATCAATTCACAATCCACACCAGAAATCCTGCCCCATTTGTCCTTTTTTGTTTTTTCATTGCCGACTATCAACGGCATCCGTTTGGTTCGACACCTGGCAATTGGCCTCCAGTGATGGGCTGCAGCTTCTGTTGACTTTATCCGGCTACATCTAATCCGATTCATTTTTACCATTTTCAACTGTGTTTCAATTTGCATTTGCCGCTGCCCGAGGCTCGTCGGGATTGGAGGATAGTGCATATTGAAGTCATCACAGTTGGCGACACTCCCAGGCAATTTTGTGCGCCAACTTGACCATATCCAGCTGTGTGTATGCAGATGACACTGTGTCACCAGATTCTCCCTATATTTTTTTCTTTTTTTTTTTTTTTTTGTTCCACTGCCAAGTTTGTCGGGGAAGTGTTCTCCTCTTAGCTCCGCTCATTGTGTATGTATATTTTCCTTCTTTTTTTTATTTGGGTTCCACTGGTCCGCCACACGCTGTGGTCTTATGGACTCCTCGATTTTTCGTTATGCTCAGCCCCATGCAACTTTGTTGCCTTATTCTCCATACAATCCCTCATCTCTGTCTCCATTTCCCTTTGGCTTGGGCTCTCTTTCTGTTGCACAGAGACAATGGTGCCCGTTTCCCATTGTTGCTGCGCCGCTTTTTTCTAAATTTTCACTTACACGTACGAGTTTTTCAGTTTTTAACTATATTTTTTTTGTCTTCCAAGCCAGGCTTTTTGCCAAAAACATTTTTTATCCCCGTTTAGCCATCTTTTTCCTTCTCCATCTTTTGAGTTCTCTTCCGCTCTATGTGTTCCCTTTTTTCGGTGATGACTTTTATTTGCCACTCACTGTATTTGGGTGATTTCTCTTCGAGGGTGTTCTCAGAATCCTTTTCTAAAATTAGTTAAAAAATTATTTTTTAAATCTTTTTTAACTCAACTCTTTTTTTTAACTCTAAGTCTGGAAAAGTTGAAGAAGTATTGACATAGAAAATTCCTAGCAAATTTTACTTATACAAGTTGCACTGTACCAGAAACCCATAAAAAGGCAATTTGTATAGACCGAAAACCGAGTGATTTAATTTCCTGGAATTCGAATATCTCTTGGCTTGTTGGCTCTTTTGGTGAGAGTAAAGTGCGTAGCATGTGGCATGCATCATTCTTGCCGACTGTCCTCCCTTTTTTCTCCGTCAGTCGACTGTCGCCAATGTCCATATCCCTGGGATGTGGACGATGCACATCCTCAAACTCAACCTCGCCTGCTTCCATGTCCATTTCGATGTCCCCATGTCCAGTGTCAATTTTTACCATCTCCATTGCCTTTTGGCTGCCAGTTGAGCGGATTTCTTTTTCCGTTTTGCTCTCTCTTTGCTTGTTGTCATAATTTTAGCACTCACTATGCGTTTGTTTTTTTGTTCTTCTTTTATTTTTTAGCTGGAAATGCGTTTTCAACCCCTTCCAACGCTTTTTAATGTCATTTGCTGTGGGTTTTTTTTTGCACTGACTTCGTTGAATTTGTTTATTTTTCGTGGTGTAATTTATTTGAGGCTCGTTGCCGCTGCCGCTGTTTGTTGGTAGTTGGTAGTTGGTAGTCGGCATCCCATTGGTTTATGGCTTGTAAGTTGTTTATTATTAATGTTTGGCTTATGCTGGCAGTTGCTGGGCCTCCACTGGGTTGACTGCCATTTGGTTTTTGGTTTTGTTTGGTTCGGTTTTGTTGCACTTTACGGGCATGAGCTCATAATGAAGTCATAGTTATCTGCCCCGCCCCTTCCCTTCAGCTTTTTACCATATCTGTTGGCCATAAAATATACGCGTATGCGTCATATTGCGACAATGCTCTCGGTTCCCTTACCAGTTTCATGCCCACAACTCCAAAATTTTTGCCTCAGAAATATTCCCGCTCGCATTTTCAAACCGAGCTGCATGTTCTTGTGCATTACCAGCACTTATGTATTATTCGCATTAGTCATGCGGTGTCTCCGTTATGTGAGTATGTGGTAATATATATACATATGTAATATATATTTAACCGAAAAGAAACCAGACTTTGATTTAAACAAATTCTCAGTATAGATTATAGTAAAGAAATATTTTTATTTATAAAACTTAACATTTGCAATGGATTTGATTAAATGTTTCTTTCTCAAATTAAAAGGAAATAGTTTCTGACTATTTTCAAATGAAGCAATATTTAGACAGAAATGATTATCCTCAGTCTAATTATAACGAATATGTGCAAGCTTTGCAATAGAAAATAATGATTATCAACGCATAAAATATCATATAAAAACAACTTTGCCAAAGGCAGAAAATATCAGTTATATATTTAAGAAGCTTGAGAAATCATTAAAATGTTAAAACTAGTAATAGTTTTGGTTTTGCGCAATAATAATTGGAACGACCTATGGGTATCCAGCAAAGGACGTTGATGGAAGTACGTTTAATGGAACATCATCCCTAGATGATCTGATTGAGAAGACAGTATCGCAATACGGGCCAATTTTAGATGAGCTTTTATTAGATATATTCGGTCTGGATGTCTCTGATTGGATATTAAAAAAATAAGTCTTGTGCGGATTCTTAATAAATATAATTGTTGTTATTAAATTTGATTTACTAAATGGAAAAATTTAACAATATTCTTGTTGATTTCATTGTTTGGGAGATAGGAGCTTTCGCGAAGCCGAGATTCTTTGAAAAAGCCTATTCAGATGATGATTCTAAAGTTATAGAAATGTAATCTCAGCAGTGCTCATCAATAATTGAGCAATACGTAGAACGCTAGAATCGCTCATCTAAATATAGTCGGATTATCTGAAAGTGTACTGGTAAATCCAACATCAGGAGAATATATATAGTCGTTACAATACGACAGATGCGAAATCAGTTGCATTCTCAACGTTGTTTGGAGAGCATTCAAAATGCTGTGGCTCGCAATTTTGTTTTCCGCTATAATGATTGGAAATTCCTATGGAAATCCGACTGCCACCACTGAGGGACCGGCTCTTGAAGGAGGTACAATATCACAGTTGACAACCCAATTGAATGGATGCTGTTTTACGGCCCTGCAAGCAATGCTGAATCACGTAGCTTCTCGCCAGAATGAGTGGGATGCCTGCGAAAAGAATCAACTAGAAGGTGTGGCAGATGCACAGAAAAGTATAGAAAATAAACTAAAGGATCTTCAGGTCAGACTATCAAACACTGAAGGTTTACCTGAGGCCAAGACGAACGTCGTTATACCACCGAACTTTGAGCAGATCGGCTCCAAATTCTATTATATTGAGAACAGCACCAGGATGAATTGGCATGGGGCTTCGAACGCTTGTCGTCAGATGGGAGCTCATCTGGCGAGGATCGAGAGTAGCACAGAGCAGTACAACATCGAGGAGCATCTCAAATACCGGGAAGTCTATTGGCTTGATACACATGACTTGGCTAACGAGGGCGAGTTCGTGCACTCAAGTTCCGGTCAGCCGGCAAAATATCTCAACTGGGGTTACGGCGAACCTGATAACTATGAAAACTTTCAGCATTGTATTTTTCTGTACAATGGTTACTACTACGATAGCCATTGTAACACTGGAAGTCTTTTTATTTGCCAGGCCGGCAATTAACAGAAACACAGTTAAGAATGTAAAAGTCTTTTATGCAAAGTTTAAAAATATATATAATTTTTTAAATTAAATGCACCCCTGTACCTTTTATTTTAGTTATATATAAAAATAATAGTGAAAAGTCCTAGGATCTAGCGATTTTGGTTTTTTAGGACTCTGAAATAAACTTACGGTACGTAGGCATTTCAAGAATTTGCCTGCTGTAGCTCAACTTAGTATCTCTTATAGTTTCTTTGATCTCAGCGTTCATACGGACAGAGGTACATCCCTAAATCGACTCGACTATTGATCCTGGTCAAGAATATATATACTTTAAAGGATACCTTTTTCTACCTTTTACATACTTTTTAACGAATACAATATACCCTTTTAATCTACTAGTAACGGGTATAATAATAATTCATAGATTTATACGATATAATGCCAATTTTTAAAATGGTCAATTTTAATAAGAACAGCGAATTAAATTTACAGAAATAAATTTCTGTTGACATTTTTCTTATCCTAAAACAATATTGCTTGAAGAATTGAAAAATAATTGAGATTTTATTTAACTTTATTTTCAGTAACAATTTTTAAGCTATCAACATTAAACCATTTACAATACATCATCAATTGCCTGACAAATGAAATAATTTTTGGATTTACATAAATTAGTTTTCATTTTTCCATTTAAAAGTGAAACGCAGTGTGTTTCGCTGACCTCCGTAGCATTGGGTTCGCCGGCATGCCAATCCAAAAAGGTGGCCAACTTTCCAGAGGACGAAGAAACATACTCTTCTTTCTTGGACAAATCGTTGATATCCAGCCAATATTCAGAGTCCTGATTAAGCCTGGTCGAAATTAGCGTAAGCTCCTCTGCACTCCGGATATTGGCAAGGTAGCTACCTTGTTTCCGGCAAATGTTTGCAGCCGAAAACCAATTCTCTTTTTTTCTCTTCTCGATGTAGAAGAACCGTGAGCCATGCTTTTCATAGCTAGAAGTAAACTCTGCGATTTTAGTATGCAAATCGTCCAGTTGAGCATCGATTCTTATCTGCCTCTCATTCAAATTGTTCTTCTCGCAGTTATTCATTCGAGTCTGCCGGGTTATTATGAGATCCAGCATGGGTTGCAGTGTCCTTACGCAGGATTCGTCACAGGCCGTTTGAAGGCCCGGATTTGCCACAGATTGATCAAAACTTGTTGCAATTATTGCAAAAAATACAACTTCTACTAATCCGATCATTGTAAATGTCTAATGTTTGGGTATTTGAGTTGAGGAGATTACTAAATGATTCTGCGATCGGTGGCTAGCTTTTATGTGCTCATCCGATGCATTAATACCAATAAGTCATTTCTCAGATTTACTCTCTGTTATTGGATTGGTGATAGGAGAGTTTTCCAAACAGCTCTCTGGCTGATAAGAGTTGTTTATATACATTCCGACGAATCCGCATTATCGCTTTGAATTCTTGGACGCTTAGGGTTACTATAATTGGCATTTGTGAGTCATCTTTGAAAGTGATTATTAAAAAATGTCCCGGTTTTCGCAAATATTGTTTACAGAAATCGTTGTCTAAGAAATCGTTAAAGGTGACGATTAAGTATGTACTAATTTTCAAATATATCAAAGGTGTTAAACATTTTTAAAACTACTTGAAAAGTGTACGGTGTGACTAACTGTTTAAAGGAGATGATACCCTGCAATTGACACACCTCGTAAATGACAAACAGTCGAAAAAGTTCTTAATGAAATTCTCGTACTAAAAACTTGCAGCTGAAGGAGAAAATCAGAGAATCGGATTGGGATAGTTGGTGCTTGCCAGTCATGTGGCCACCGGTGTTGACACCAATTTTCGCAACTTTCAATCGGCTTTTCTGGAAAAGGGTTCTTGTGGGCGAAACTTGTACCACCAATCCGGCTCAAGTCGAACTTAATTAAAGCGCTTTAAGCACTGCAGTTGTCAGAGAGAGGCCGACATTTACGGTTGGATTGTTTCACAAATTGGAGAGTTGTCGACCAAAAACCAAACACGACAAACAAGCAAAGTTTGCCTTTCCTTTTGTTTGAATTTGTGGCCCAGGATGTGGCTCAAAACGGTGGCGCTTTAAGCGTGAAATTTATCTCATCCTTTAAAAGCCTTTCCGGATCGGTAGGGGGAAAACAAGAAAACAAAAAAAAAGGGAGTTGAAAAACGTTTGAACCAAAATTATGTGCTCTTATAATTGGCGCACAGTTTGGCCACAGATTTAATTGCTAGCCCTTTGGGTAAAATCCGGAGATATAATAAGACTCTAAGACACTGGCAAGTGCAACAATTGAAAATGTTGTTGCTGGCTTTTTTGGGTGGTACCAAAAAGTTTCTTAGTCATGGCCAAAAAGTTTCTGAAGCTGCCAAGGAAAAGTGCAGTTTGTAGTGGAATCCAACGCATCACCCTTCTCTGGTCCTTCTGTCCTTTTTTCTCACACACATATGCTGGAAAAACCTGCGGTTGCCTTCAACTTTGTTAAACGCCACAACCGTGTAAGCTTAGCCCCCAAAATAAAACCCTACGAAGAAAAAATTCTAGACTACTAACTATGCTTTACTTTGTTCACGGGTTGTTGTGCAACTTGATGCTGCACATATATCTATATATATAAACTCGTATATTCATTCATGGAACTTTGTTCATGGCGGGCGAGGAATGGAATTTATGGTCTACATGGCGTATGCGTGATGGAGAATTGATTTAATTTGTTCGAGTTTAAGCAGCACAAGGTGAAGCCATGTTAAGGGCACATATATATTGATACAGAGATATTTGGCTGGATGTTCTTGAGCAGGATTAATGCGTAACCAACAGATATGGCAAGTTCACTTACCTCATTTATGCAGCTATTAAACTGCTTTAAACTACAGACTAGTTGTGCAAATTTAAATAGCCAATAAGCTAACCAAAAGTGAATTATTTCGATAGCAAAACAGCTTTGTGTAATCAATTGTTAATAAATAACTAATTTAATTATACCGATTAATCTTGTTTGCATTGAAAAGCTTGTGTGATTGAAATAATTTGGAAACAATTAAAAGGCGTGAAAGTGATAGAGAAACACATTTATTATGGTAATTCAATTTTACTGTTTTTGTACTTTAATATACGCTTATATTTATGTGTAATTATCCTATTAATATTCAATTTTATTCTTAATCAGCTTATATTCAAATATTCATTCAATCAACTGCTTTTGATCAACTACCATTGAAGGGTGATTTGGCTTGTGTCACATCTTTAATCTTAAATAAGTTTTTTGAGATCAGAATAGTATTTTAGTCCCAAGCACTTGACTGCATTTCATTTTGGTTTTTACCTTCTGAACTTTTGGCAAAAAGATTCCATGATAATGCTTTTGACTGTTGCAGCAGTTTTCCCTCTTTTCCCCCATTTTTTTTCACAATATTTTGTTGACACTAGAGTTTGTTGGATTTCTAATATAGCAAGTCTAGGCTTCCAAGAGGGTTGTTCCTTCATAGTAATTGTCGGCATTAATTGGTGTTTAATTTTTGTTATTATTTAATGTGTCTTCCTTAATAATTTCAATTTATTTTTGAAAATTTTGAGCGTGTTTAAAATTTTCATCCAAATCAAAAAATTTTTAGACTCATGTGTTTTGCGGACCTTTTTTTCCCCCAGTTAGCCAAAGTCTTTTAGCTGTTGGCAGTTTGAAACGACGACAACTTGCGGGATGGAAAAGAGATGGCAATAGGGCAAGGGAAAGATATAGAAACAGCGTGGAGAGAATGCATATGTAACTTTAACTCTGGGATTCATTCGTTGACTCGTTTACTGTTGCTTCCGTTGTGCAATTTAGCAGAATGCCACGTTTTATATTCCATTTTAAAGATGCTCCTAGCCCAGCTGCCACTGTGTTGCAAATTAAATTGTGGCTGCCCTTCTGGATGCAAAAGGTTTAAGTAATTGATACTTGGAATTTCATTAAGCAGCTTTGGCTAGATTACAATCTGCTCTGAGACTCACTCAAAGCCAAAATTCCTGAAAATTATTGTACCATGATTTTTATTGAAAATTAGATAAATAACATTAGAAAGGAAAATTCTATTAAAAAAATTAACTGTATAAATCGTATTATCTTATTATTATTATTTGAAAAGTAAAATAAAATAGCAAAACATAACAAAAGTCTCTCAAAATAATTCAAGATAAAAACGAATTTTCAGCTTGCCAGCTGTAAACGAAATCCGTGTTCTTAAATATTCTATGAAGTGATTGTCGCACAAGGGTCACGTGTTTTACCTTAAACGACAATTTGCATACGAAACTATAGAAAGGTGAAAGGGTGCGGGATGTGGGAAAAACTGAGCTAGGGAAAAAGGGGTCAGAAAAGGAAAGGAAAGGGGACGGCACGGGACGATTTTCTCCATGCAATCTTTAGTGTCGAATGGTGCCAAGTTGGAAATGCACTTTTTATGTTCGCATGGCGTGCAACGTAACAAATTTAACCGTAGACAGATTGCACATGTGTACCGTTTTGTAATGTTATACAAGTTACACATACAGATACTTTTTTGGCTATACCGCATACAGATATTTAAAACACAGATACTGCACACATGCACAGACACAGATATCTTTATACACAGTCAAGACGAAGTCTGGCAAAAGTTTTCATGTTGGCCAAGGGGAAAATGGTGAGGGACAAAAGGTTCCACAAATGTGAAACAAATTGTTTAATGTCCTATCTCCCTCTCTGTCGCAGTTGCAATTGTCTTTCTCTTTCCCTCTCTGTCTTCCCATCTTTTTCTGTGCACTAGGAAAAAACATAGTTTAAAGATAGTTTGTAAATAAAGGTCTCTTAAGATGAAAAATATTGTTGCATACTTTTAGACACTATTTAAAGATGATTTTAAATCATTGTAAAAGATATACATTACATCTTCTTTATTGTCTTAATTTATAGTTTTATTAATTCAATATTTTTTCACCAGTACATGTGCGTGCTTGGCTTCGGTTGAGCTTGTCAATGCGACAATTCCTCGACGTCTACGTTAGCAGGGAGGTTTGTAATCGCACGTTTATTACCTCCATTTGGATATATTTTCTCCATTGTCTCCAATTCTCTCTGTTCCTTAATCTCTGTCTCTTTCCCTCCATTTAAGCCAGCAAAATCAGGGCTTAATCGCTCTGACTTGTTGTGGCTAATTGCAATTTGAAATGCTCCATGAGATGAGACGAGCTGAGCTGACTTTGATTTGTCCTAAGTCGGCACTTGTCACACAGTTTTTATGTCAATTGGCTGTGTGGGGTTAAAGTTGTAAAGTGGCTTCGGAATTAAGAAGTTGTGGTCTGTCATTTGAAGAGAACAAAAGATGCGGCTAAGTTGAGCAGATTTTTAAGATTTTAGTTTAAATTTGTAGTTGATTTTGGTTTTTACCTTAATCATCATTGTGTTCTCTTTACTATTTGACTATTCTGTACTTAAGCCGAGACTTCCAGATGCTAGCATCGATTCATCAATCAATTTCCAATGTTAATCTAGCTTGTTGCTATGGCAAATGATTTTCGTGGGCCGAGGTTGAAAATCGTTTACATAATGCATAAATCAAAAGACCCCCAAAAAAAGCCAAACAAATTTCCATAGGTAAACAACAGCGAGCACGAGCAATAAATAAATTGTGGGTACATGTAAACTGAAAACATTTTCACAAATGCATAATGACAAATAATTTGTGTAGCAAACTCATCTTGCACCTTTCACCGAGAAAATACAAAAAAAAAAATGTGGGGGAAAATACAAAATAAAACTTTTCCGCCAAGTAATTCTCATGATTTCAACTTTGAACTGAGTCGCTGCTGTCACTTTTTCAAGTCGCGTCTTTGCTAATTTTTCGTACCCACCTTCAAATAAAACCAAAGAAACGAGGAAAACTTCAAACTTGTTAGATAGGAAATTTCCCACCGAGCCTTGCCATTTTCCTCGTCGTTTTTTGACAGGCTTTCAACTTGAATACTCTGTGGGGACACCCGAAATTTATGCAAATATGTTACAGTTTCTGGGGGCATTCTGGCATCCTCCCAGCTGTTCCTCTAATTTTCCTCTCCCACTCAACAGGCCCTGTTGTTGGCCTTACTGTTTTCTCTTTTGGAAAACTTTTGCCTTGAGTTGGCCTAAAATGTCGTCTTGGCGCCAAAGTTTTTCGCTATGCCCTCACTTCAGTTTTTCCTCAGAGAGTTTCAGTTTCTTTTCAGTTTTCCCCGGCAATGATTAC